CAGAGTCCCAAGTCCGTCGTCCGGAGTACGGACTATCCGTCCGGCTGTTGTTGTCGCTGCCGCAATGCAGTGAATTCGGCAGAACCCCTTAGTTTTGGTAGCCTGGCCAACACGTGACTGACCTCCTGGGCTAGCTTTATTTTCCAGGGGCTGCAGGTTGGGGTATGGATGGATGTTGGGCGCCATTTTCATTTGTTGATGCGGTCGAGCAACGTCCCTGCACTTTTGCGGCCACAAAATGTGAGCATCAAATATTGAAAACATTTCCCCAGCCAGGCTGCACAGTTTTTATGGCCGTGGCTGTGCCAATGGCGGGCCCCAGTGACGTGGCCAAAAAGAGCTTCCGAGAGGCGAGACCCGCCTGATTGGTTTCTTGGCAACAAAACCCCACTGAACTGCCACGAACCCGTTGCTGTTTACTCAAATAAACCCGACTTGCAACTTATTGCCATGTTATCTTTGATTTTGGCAACGAGTCCTGCGAAAATATTTGGGGAGTGGGGCATGCCTTGCTGCCACGTGACTCTGTTAAAGATATGAATGCACTTTGTTTAAATGGCGATAACGTATAGATAGACAAAAAGCTTATCTAATGGATGTGCATGTAAAAGAAAAGGGGGGAATAACCTACAAATGAGTAATTTATTTAAGAAAACTTATCGTAAAATTGTCCGCAAAGCTAAATCCTAAAACCCATCGCCTAACAGCAGGCCAATGCCAAAAATGCAGCTTAATTTATTGCTGCTTTAATTCCTTTCAAAAAATAAAACTGAAATAATCTAAACTGCATTCCTTGACGAGTAATTGTATCCAACGCCTAAAAGCAGGCAGCAATAAAGGCTCTTTTTGGATTGCACTTTAACGTGAAGCATTTCTAATATTTCATTAAACTTCTTCTGTAGTCCTCCATAAATTACAATAAATTTCATTCATTTAATATTCTCTCTTGAGGGCGAAAAGCCCTCCTTCCTTCCGTCTATTCATTCCCAGCAATCGCCACCGTTGTCTGCCGCCTGAGAGGCGCTTCCATCTAATTTGCTTGGTTTGCCTGCACTTTGCAGGGAATTTGTTCGTTGTCGCAATGCCATAAATTGTGCAACTTATGCGGCCAACTGGCCGCCTTCTAATGCCCCAAACCCTCAACCCCTTCCTTTGGCTATAAATTACAAGAAGGCATTTGCCACACTTCCGTTCGAAGGCCTTCAGGTTTTGGCTTGGTCTGCAGTCCCTGCACTTTTCTCTCCGGCCATTCTGGAGTTATTTTTGTGCCTTAAATCGGCTTAACTGGCCGGCGGAGTAGTAGCCGTAGTTGGCTCATCTGGACACAAAGGGGGCTGAAAATCAATAACCCCGAAGAAAAAGGTGGGTTGAGCCCCATTGTTGTCGCCGTTGTCCATGGCAATAACATTTAAATGGCCAAGGCTTCTTGAAATTCAAATTGCGAAAGCCTGAAACTTTAACACTTCCTATAGAGCATGGCAAACAACAACCCCAGACTTGAAAAACCCCTGGCCCATGCTATACCCCATATTTTTGTAGTAGTTTCTCTACAGTCTGGCTTCAATTGACAGACACAGAGGCGGAGTTACAGCAATGAAGGGGGGCCAAAGGGAACTTGTAATTCTAGACCAGACTGCTGCCGGTGGCGACGCTTTGTCTGGCAGACAGACGCGAGTGACGAACAAATGTGGCAAAACGATTTATTTGGCTTTATCAGCAATTTTGATTCTCCTTTGTCTCTTATAGAAAGAGTCGCATTAAGTGTTCCGCCTGCGTTGCGGCGATTTGTCATATCGCTGATTTACTAACCTTACACCAGGCATTATCTCTTGGCAAAGGAGCCCGAATCCGGAATGGTGGTGGAGTGGTGGAATCCACCCTTGCGAGAGCGGCTAAGAGGGTGACTTTTTTTCTGCTTGTTTTTTTTGTTGCTGAGGGTGTAACTAACCGACACACAAGTGCACGGGACAGGATATCCCTATGCATGTGTATGTGTTTGCGCATATCGCCGGCATCAACATCAAATTTATTGAGGTAGTTGCCAAGCGGCTCTGGCAAACAAAACGAGCATGCAAAAAGGAATTTTCTTTAACATGCAAACGTTTCTTTTTGTTTTTCATATTTTTTTCCGTATCCTTTTTTTATTACTATTCCTTTCCTATGCAATGGACAGAGTTGCCACTCGCCAGGGCAAACAAACGGGCGGCCACTCTGTTGCCATAACAAACATGCATAAAAAATGATGACACAGTCCGGGGCAAACAGGCAGAAGAGGAAAGAAAGCAAACACATAATCCGGCAAGTGTTGCAAATTGAAAGCGGTTTTAGGCCAGGAGCAGTCACCTGAATAGCTCCGGCTCTTGGCCTTTGGAATGAATTTCACTGGAATATGGCTAGTTCCTAGCATACCAAAATGCACACAAAAGGGAAATGGACAAAAGGAGACCCTGGCAACACTGCGTATGAGGAATCCCCACATTTTTATCGATATTCTCTGCTGCAATCCTAATGGAATTTCCTGCGTTGTTGTGTCTGCTCCTTTCAACTGACTCAATATCCATTGGCCATGTGTGTTTATTATTCATTTCCTTGCAGCAGTGCCTCGATAAAGCGCTTTTCCAGCTTTTCCTGCTCATTTTCATGGTGCTCCCCCCTGGTGTGTTTGCCCTTTTGTGGGCTTCCCTGCGGTTGTCGCCCACACTTTACACTTACAGCTCGCTGCGTTTTCGCGCCCAACCAGCCTATATATATATATAGAAATATATACATAGTGTACCATATAGGAGGGGCCTAGAGAATGGGTTATGCACGAGGTCTGTTATTGTTGTTACTGGCTGACTGGTTCCGTTTATTGTTATAGCTTACATTGCATTCTGATGGGCTCTACTGCAGTTGTCATAAATATCTGCCGGGTTTAAGTCTAAATATTTGCTGCGGTGTGATGGTGGTAGTAGCTGTAGTTCTAGGATTGCCACCTCTATGTGGTTGGTAGTAACCCTGCCCCTAACCCCACAATTCAATCGTAGTAGGTCTTGGCAGAACAATTGTCAAAAGTCATTCGATAATCATTTGGCATTGTGTATGTGTCAGTCGGGAAAATTTTATTTCAATTCAGTTGTGAAAATTTTTAGACGTCTTTCGCATCTTTTCGGAACAAATAACTATCTCTGATTGTTAATTTGATATTTGAAAAACACAACAAAAAAGGAATTAGAAATTGTTAAAATACAGGATTGCAAGCGAAATTCCAAGTCTTTGAAGGAAATTTACAAATTCTTAAATTGTTGCCGCCGTCCGTTTTCCAAAATGATGAAAACGGCCAGTGCTCGCAAGGACAAGGAGGGTAGCGAGGAGGCCCAGTCGCCCAAGATCTTTAAAGACTCGCTCTGCTATGCGGAATCTTAGCGAAATGCCCAGTTCCAGCAGTGAGTATTACATTATCGAATTTCGGCGGTCCAAAAGCCTCATTTGTGGCCCCGGCGATATCAATCGAAAAAGTATTTCAATGTCAGCGAAAACGAAACGGATGGCAGATGGAATAATACAAAATTTGCAAAAACCCAGTGATTTAGTAGGGAGGAGGAGAGAGCAGCAACAAACAAAAAAAGCAGCGTCTAGCAATACGAAAAGAATTTAGAAATGTTGCGGATTTGGTCATAATTTGATGTGGGTCGCTCTCTCACTCTCTATCAATGGGTTCCCCTCTCTTTGACGATAGAACTTGCTGATATTCTTTTTTTTTTTTTTTGCAAATGTTACGCAATTATCGCTCTCGGCTAGTTGTGGCCCCTCATTTAGTATTCTTTTCGTTTGTTTTTTGCCTGCAGCTTGGTTCGTTTTTTGTTTGAACGTCAAACACACACACCGGCCCACACATCTTGATACACATTTATACATATATATAAATGTGAATCAAAATAGCATTTGCTGATAGTGTGACTGCTAAGGTAGATTTCTATGCTATGGCATGTAGGTGAGCGTTTGCCACTTGACAACTGCGGAAAATTTGCATTTTCATTATGAGTGTGCCATAAATATTCATTTATGATAAATTGCTGTATGCAGCTGCACTTGCAGCTAAAGCAAACGGCTCTTGTTTCCGCATGTCTTTCAGCCAGCTGATTTTCGACGCGGAAAACATTAAAAATATTTGTTTCAGACTGATTAAATATATCAAATCACGCAGGTTTATAAGCTAAATATTAATATCAAATATTAATAGCGTACAACTTATTTGCAGATATAATACAATCTTGAAAATTTACAGCTTACATCTGTCATTTATCTGTTAAGTTCAATATTTAAATAACTTAACTCCAGTGGCAATTTTGGCAAGTAATTAAACTGAAGGCGTTCAACAGCTATCAGTTTTAGATTTATCAGCTGTTGCCATGGCAACGAATACGTCACGCTTATTGCTCTTGTTCATGGTGATTAGCCACATTGCGTATACGCAACACGTCACGCACAATTCGCAAAACGCGCCTCTTTTCGATTGTTTACATTTTGGCCAACACGTTTTCATGCCGCTCTCTCTCTCTCTCTCCTCTTCCTACTCTTTTATATTTTCTCTTTTCTCACGCACTTTTTGGTGAATTTTTCTCTTGCCTTTGCTCCCACTTTGGGATCGCGAATTTGTGCGTTTCGCATTTTGTTTGAAGTCAATGAACTTTTTCGCTTTTGTTGTCTGCTCTCCCATGCTCACTTTTTTTCATTGTTCCCCCATTTATCTCATTCCGCGGGTGCGTGCGGCGGTGCGTAAGTTGCGAAATTCTTCTATTTCGCACATTCTCGCGACCCATTTTTCCAAGCAGTCGCAATTTGTTGCTATTTTTTAGCGTTCGTTGAACTCTACAGGGTAATTTTATAGGTCGCCCAAAAGAAATATTGTGGGTCCACATTTTTTTGGCAATATGAAGTCCATAGAGTTAGGAACTTTATACTTATATTTATATCTTTGGCCATTTTATTAAATTTGATTTCCAATACTTAACTTACAGAAATGGCGGAAGGTAATGGCGAACTGTTAGATGACATTAATCAGAAAGCCGATGACCGTGGCGATGGCGAGCGTACAGAGGACTATCCCAAGCTGCTGGAATACGGTCTGGACAAGAAAGTGAGTAACAAAAAGTACTTTTAACCCTTAACAACCAATATACAAAATCACTAATTTTAGGTCGCTGGCAAGCTGGATGAAATCTACAAAACCGGCAAGTTGGCTCACGCCGAGCTGGATGAGCGCGCCTTGGACGCGCTCAAGGAGTTTCCCGTCGATGGTGCCTTGAATGTGTTGGGTCAGTTCCTCGAATCAAACCTGGAGCACGTGTCAAATAAGTCCGCCTATCTGTGCGGTGTGATGAAGACATACCGCCAGAAGAGTCGAGCCAGCCAACAAGGAGTGGCCGCGCCCGCAGCTGGCGTCAAAGGTCCCGACGAGGAGAAAATTAAGAAAATTCTTGAGCGCACCCGCTACGCATTAGATGTGACGACAGGTGAGTTGATCTTCACTAGTTTTTTAAGATATTAAATATAAATCTTGATATATATTATTAACTCTCTATAGGTCAACGTAAATACGGTGGCCCGCCACCGGATTGGGAGGGAAATGTTCCGGGAAACGGTTGCGAGGTTTTCTGCGGAAAGATACCCAAGGACATGTACGAGGACGAACTGATTCCGCTCTTCGAGAACTGCGGCACAATCTGGGACCTCCGCCTAATGATGGACCCGATGACGGGCACAAATCGTGGTTATGCATTTGTCACATTCACAAATCGCGAAGCGGCCGTCAATGCAGTGCGACAGGTATTTAAGCCAACCAACAGACCATCCATATCCATACCACCACCACCACCACCCAAACTGAGTGCCCCTCAAGAAAGCCAACCCAACCCCATTATCCCAAGAAAAAGAAAGCTCCCAAATTAGTTGCCCCCTGCCCCGCTTCAATGTTTTTTACGTATTGCTAACTCTTACGATCTATATACATATCCTATATATCCATATTTTTAACGTATTGTATCCACATATTTTACTATCGTGTTAAACACATCGGAAGAAGTAGGAACAGTTATGCGGCCAAAACAAAATTCAAATATTAAAAAAAGAAACAAAAATTCTCCACAGCAAGAACGAAAAATTACGATATATATATGATCTTTAACCGATTTGGCGCTTTTAGATCTGATCCTGAGAAATTTTGCAAATTTTATTTAGTTTTTACCGTATGCTAACTTTACCTCTGCCTTCGCTATATAAACATTGAAATTTGAACTATAGGCAACGCTATCTGTCTCACTCTCTCGCTGTCTCTCTCTCTCTACTTGATCTATCTGTAACTTATGTAATGCATGTCCCGTCTTCTATGAGTTGTAATCTTAATTTTAATGCAAACGAATCTCTCCAGCGCCTTGAAATCGTTCAAATTGCAAGTTTGAAAAGAGTTCTCTTCCTCTGCGAATCAAATATTTGGCCCTACTCCCCCTTAAAAAAAAAAAAGAAACCACACATATACCTCCCGAAAACCTTTTCTATTTTCTATCTGTATTATGTTCTTTTTAGTTAAATTTTCTCTAGATCTAAGTCCAGCTATGTAGCTATCAACTTTTGTAGTCAACTAAGCAGCGTACGTTCAATCTCACTGTCTGGTTTTATTTAGACGAGCATGACCAAAATTCAAATACTAGCCACGAATATCTCCTACCTTTAACTTAACCAGTTAACCAACTAACAAAAATGTTTTTCCTTTAACATTTTCAAAACGAAACTCAACCGAAAGCGGCCCACTTCAAAATTGGTAAACAAACAAAAAAAAAACGAAAAACGTAAACCTAATCTTATTATTTAACCCCAAGCCCCACTTATTCTTATGCCTTAGTTCAAAATTATTTATGATTTATTTTATTTTACTTATTATTTATTATTATTAACATTGAATTGGTATTAAAAAGAAACGTTTTACCTTCCCTTCCACAATTTAGCTCGATAATCACGAAATAAAACCCGGCAAGTGTCTGAAAATAAATATAAGCGTACCGAATCTGCGCCTTTTCGTAGGCAATATTCCCAAGTCAAAGGGCAAAGATGAAATTTTAGAGGAATTTGGTAAACTTACAGGTAAATTGACAAACACGAAATTAACCAACAAAAAAAATGTATTTTAAATTACCAACAACAGGAGTTGCGATTCGCAGCTTCATTAATCGGCTTTAAATTGTAAACAAAAATCCAATTGGCTACAACCAACAGAAATTGGCTAATTGCAAGATGCAAGGACTGTTTTTTAGTAGGTTAGAAAAAGGGTCTTAGGGTCTTTTTTTTAATTTAGTTTAATTTACAATTATTTTGTTTTTGAACTCATCCTTTTTTATACTCTTCACCCATCCACCTCAAACCATCCAAACATCCGCCATTGCCATCTCTCGGCACTTCTGAAAAAATTGAAAAGTGTTCTCCCCCTGAAACTCAAAAAAAAAAAAAAGAAAACATATTGAGACACTCTTTTCAAATGCGCTCTCGCCCCATGAAAAAAAACAAAACCGAACCTCAAACATCGTCGGATGCATTTCTCAGTTTTATATCATATACGTTGCCTCATATATAGCACAGACACACACACACACACGCACACACACAGATACTACATACATACATACCCACATACATAGATACAGCGACACGCCCATTTGTCTCATTGCCATTCGTTACAAGCTTGAATTGTCGTATAAGAATATTTCTTTTTAACTTATTTACATAATATCTCCAGTCATTAACTTTGCCTACAAACCAAAAAATAAAAAAAAGAACCAACCAAAAAAATATTCAAATTTTTAAATTTCCTACCAAATTGTTATGCATTCCAAAAACTTTATTTCCATTAAGTTCTATAATATAATATTAATCACACCGTAGGAAAGCAGGCTCTTCAAATTATAAATATTAAGTATACGCCGTGTGCGCCAGCTAGAAAGTCACTTCACATGTAATTTATTGCTAAGGTAAGATCAAGACGCATTTGACTTTCTAGCTGCTGCATAGAGCCAAATCATTTTTTTTTTTTTAATATCAAAGTAATTATTCCGCATAGTAAGTACTAGTACTGGTAGTGTGACAACGAATAATCCACATCAAATCAACTGGAATTTAGCTAAAGAACAACCTTATTTTTGAGTAAATTCATTTTTTATTTGGCACGCAATACAAAATATAAAACAAAAAAAGTTACTAAAGTTTAGATATATAAAATATAGAACTCCACAACACAACTCTCTCCCACCCATGAGAATTACTATCAAACACGAACACTCATTTTATAACCACCTTTGAAACCACAAACCCGATATACCAAATCAATCCAAAATCAAATCGCAGTACCAATGAACTACAAATTTTTCATAGCAAATCAAAATTTTCTTTTGTTTTGTGTGAACTTTTAAACAATTGCAGCTAAATGATTATGAAATTCGGAAAGGCAAAAAGATTGGTGTTACGATATCATTTAACAATCACCGGCTATTTGTCGGCAATATACCTAAGAATAGAGATCGCGACGAATTAATTGAGGAATTTTCAAAACATGCACGTAAGTGATCCAAAAACCAACAGCAACAGCAACCACAAACAAAGCAAAAGACCCAAAAAAAAAATGAATAAATTAAACCAAAATAAAGACCCTCCAAAAACCAGCCCAGCACAAACCCCAATTGGCTAACAAGAATTGGCCAACAACCTTAATTACTTGTACTTAATCCCATAAATGTTTTTAGGGGCGATACTTGCAGAATTGAAAAGCGCATGGAAGCCTACGAAATGAAGTATCAATTGGATTTTTGTTTTGCAATTTTCGCTTTTAAAATGCTCCACACCCCGAAAATTAAACACTTTGAAAATCCCACCAACTAAATTGAAACATTTTAACAAACGACCAAGAATAAAGGACATGGCTTTTATCTAAACTGAAGCCATGTCCTTGGGTTGATTGCATTTTTACCTCTTTGTCATTATTCTCTCCCACTCATTTTCTGTAGCGTTAAGCGCTGTTAGTAAATACAACAAAAAATTAATTGTTCTCCGATTATATTTTATTTATTTTTTTTGTTAAACGTTCCAATTATTAAATGTGCCCAATTTGTTGACATTGAAAACCTGTAGCTAAACAATTCGCTAACCAAAACATTTTGAATATTTTTGAGAAGCAAAAATAATATAAAAGGGATAAACCTATATAGTTTTTGTTTTAGTGCAGACCTATATATCATATTATATATAATATATACACATAGATAATAAACAACAACGGCGCACACAAAAACGAAACAAAACCCCCGCCCAAAAAACAAAAAAAAAAAAACCTAAATATGAAACAGTAATTCGTCTACTCAAATCGATATGTTTTGGCCTATTCATGTTGAATATAATATATATATGAAATTCATTTATTTAATGACTGGAGACTACAAGCCTTAAAAATGAACTCATTTTACTCTAACTCTCTCTGTATCTATCTCTCACATAAGCGCTACTTCCCCGAGCAATTGATGCAAACGAATCGACGTGAAACTAAGCCAAATTCAAAATCCAATATCCATAAACTATTTCGTTGTTACGTTATTGTTCTATATATCTCTACCGATCTCTCTTCTCTATTTGTATCTCAGTGTACACACGTTCTCTCTCTCTATCTTAAACTCTATCTGTCTTAAACTTAAACTCTGGCTATGTTTGTGTATAGTTTCCCCGTTATCGTTTCCATTACTCTCAAAAAACGAAAAATAAATCCAAGCTCAATGTGTGCTCTCTACTTCGTGTTGTGTTTTTTGGTTATATGTACTCGTATATTTTGTTACTTTTCCTATTTTAATTGCAACATGTACTATATATAAACAAAAACAAGCAACAACAACAACAAAAATAATAGCAACAGAGGTTTTTAAGTGTTTTTCTAAATGTGTGTTTCATTTTACAATACTCTCTATACGTACTACATATCCAACTTAATGTTATACCCCCGCTCTCTCTCTCTCTCTCTCTGTAATACTCTCCAAAAAATCTACAAAAACAAAAACCGAAAATGTTATATTAGCTCTTAGCGCATTTAATTATTCAAAAATATTTCAAAAAGTTAAGCAGCAAGCAGCAATTGTTGGCATTGGTTTTCAAAATCATCTAATTCGCTCTACATATTATATATAGAGATTCCTCCGATTATATGGAAATGCTCATTATTTTACACAACAAAAAACAGAATGCGAGCGATTAGAGACCGCTCGCCCGCCCGCGCTTGTCATGTAAAATTTTGTGCATTTCTGTTTAAAAATATAAAAAATACAGTATTCCATTTATTTATATTTACAAATCGCCGAGAGTGCGTCTCAGTGTGTTCTTATCATCTGTACTACTACTACTACTACCCTCAAACATTCTCGCACACAAACAAGACACCTGCCAATACAAATTCTTTTTTGTTGTATTACTTTCGTTTGAATTTTTACATATGCAACCAACTAATCATATTGCATTTGAATTGATAACGCCATCTATATTTACCGTACTCAAATGACAATTTTCTTTATTTAAAAATAAAACCTGATCCCGAATCTGAACCTATATAGCTGGCCTTTACGAGGTAATCATATACAGCTCGCCAGATGATAAGAAAAAGAATCGCGGCTTCTGTTTTCTCGAATACGAGTCACACAAGGCGGCATCTTTGGCCAAAAGAAGGCTTGGCACAGGACGAATCAAGGTGAGTTAAACTTTAAAACTTAATCTTAATCAAAAACTAATAAAGGTATTGTATTTTAATAGGTTTGGGGATGTGATATAATAGTCGACTGGGCCGATCCACAGGAGGAGCCGGATGAACAAACTATGTCCAAGGTTAAAGTTCTTTATGTGCGAAATCTAACCCAGGACGTCTCAGAGGATAAGCTAAAGGTAATGCTACTACACAGAATCTTAATACATACATTTAGCTAATCCTATTTCTGGTTAACAGGAGCAATTTGAGCAATATGGAAAGGTGGAACGCGTTAAGAAGATTAAAGACTATGCCTTTATACACTTTGAGGATCGTGATAGCGCCGTCGAAGCTATGCGTGGCCTTAATGGCAAGGAGATCGGCGCCTCGAATATTGAGGTGAGTTAACTTTAATAATAACTTATGTTTATATAATATATATACTTGTATTTCCTCTCCATAGGTCTCTCTAGCCAAACCCCCCTCGGACAAAAAGAAAAAAGAGGAGATTCTGCGTGCTCGTGAGCGCCGTATGATGCAAATGATGCAAGCGCGTCCTGGGATCGTGGGGTATGTATTTTCAGCTCCTCTTCATATAACCAAACCCACTTAACTACTCCACCCCTGCAAAGAAAAACTTGTCTAGCACAGCAACATCCACACATTACCACAGATTGGCGCAAAATCCAAAATCCAAAAAAAAAAAATAAAATTCAATTGCATTCACTTAAATGCATTCCATTGGGCACTTTAGATTTCGGCTAAATCCAAATTGAAAATGTCTGTTTGCTTTTCAAGTCGCCACCAACTATTAAAGCAATCGATTAATTATATTTATTTTATTATTATTTTCTTTCTTTCTTTGCCAATTGCCTGCCCTGCGAATGAACTTCACCCCCAAATAAATACTATGTTCTACCCCGCACACGACACCAAACCAAAAAAAAACAAAAAACAAAAAACCATAACCAAACCAAACCGTACTCAATACTATATTCGTGTGGGATTACCTTGTAAAGATTTGAAACCTTGTCTCCATACAGAAATATGTCGCCGACACATCCCAGCATGATGTCCTTGACGCCCCTGCGCCTCCCAGGGGCGCGCATGCCTCTGCGTACGCCGATACCTCGTGAATACGGTAAGTTTGGCAAATTTGCCAAGTGAATAGCCGTATCTAGATGTCTCTGTATATGTATATGCATAGCCATATCGGCTATGATATTATATAATCAATGATGTTAATAATGATGTTGATGAGAGAGAGGAGTGTGAAGGCCCGCCTGGTGCCTTCACCATTTTTGTGGGACTCTACACAATTGAGAAAAAAATACTTTATAACTTTTGTTAATTTGGTTTTAGTTCTTGTAGTCAATTAGCCAAGTTGTTAGGCACACTCACAAATACATACACACCATACACACACTAACACTAACGCCACTCATTGCGTATTGATCGAGTACTCCAGTATTCTAGGTTTGTTTTTAGTTCTTAGTTTTAAAAGTCTAACCGAAAAATGCGGCAGCAGCAGCAGCAGCAGCAGCTACTAATCCTATATCTAATCCGGTCTGCAGTTTAAGCCCTTAAGTTGAACGATATATTTATATCATGTCTGCCATCGAACGCAACGTTTATTTAACTTTCTTTCTTTGATTATTGTTTCTCCTCGCCTCATTATTTAAGTTATTTAAGGTTTAGAAAGCGCGCTACTAACATTTGTATAATTGTGTCCCTAAAACTAAAACTAAAAACTAGAAACCAACACCACAAGCACAAAAACACCCTCACTCTCACTCTCACTTTCACCCAAAATGCCCCCAAAGTCACGCTTAGCACTGCCCCTCAAGTCTCCCGAGTCGAGTGAGAAAACAACGTATCCAGCTAGATCGAGATTAACCCCACTAACCTTAAGATCTCTGACCTCTGACCATTGGCAATCAATTGAAGTAACTTGAATATAACCATTTATCACTGATTTCTATTACTTACTTATTTTCCCATCTTACTAATCGTAAACGTTGTCTTACTTTCTTTTCGATACTCTCGCATTTGCAAGTTATATGGTCAATGCTCTACTTATATCCATTTTATATTTATAATTATTATCCTTGTTTTATATCTGCATGTCCGTGTTTTAGTTCCTTATCGATGTCGTTGTCCAGATTTTTGATTATAATTGTTTTTATGTAACCTATCTTCGACTCTCCTCCCGACCCTCCGATCCGAACTCTCTGTGTCGCCAAGTGCAGGGCATTAAAATATAAAAGAAACACACTACATATTCTCAATTCATAACAACAAAAGCATAGACATTAGACATTTAACCTTAAACGTTGTCCATAGTTGTTTACGATAATTAAATGTTGCAATTGTGTTCTCTGTGTAGCGAATGTTAAGCACCCTGTATACTGTTTGATGTTATATCACCGGTAAGTAACCCTAAGTCTCATCTACTTAAGCCACATACCGAAAATTGTGTGTGTGTATTAGTGTGACATCTAAAACCACCAAACCAAACCAACCAACCCACCACCTAACAACCACAGACAAACTACCAACTTATCCATCAATCCCCAATCGAGTATCTTGTTGCGTTACAGTACGCGCCCGATTCGTTAAACATTGGCAAAGTGAATTGGCAATGATAATGATAATATCCAGGAGAAGAGCTTAGTTCTAGGTATATAGAGGGAGCGTACCTTTACCTTACCTTAACTCACTTAATCCCAAACCTAAACCTAATCCTAAAACAACCCCCAACCACCCCCCAGACTACGATTACGATTATTTCGGTTTCTCGGACTATCGCCAAGGGAACTTTTCCAATGAGTCCTTCTACGAGGAGCTTTACCGCTTATATGATTCGGATTACAACTACTATGATTACCTCAATGGCGGCAACGGCAGTGGAGGCGGAATTGGTGGCGGCGGTAGCAGCGGGGGCGGTAGTGTTTCCGGCGGTACGGTTGTTCCGAACTCGGCTGGTGCCTCACAGAATTCAGGGCTGGCCAGTGGACAGCGTTCGGCCAGAGGATCGACAAGTGTTCTCAGTGGTCCACCGAGCATTATGGTTCGTTTTTTTTTCTACATATCGAAATATTGCGATCCTCTCGAATCGGAGTACAATTTGATGAACAAAACAAGAACACAACCGCACACAGAAACACAAGATTTGTAGAGTTCGTTTTCATTTGATACTGATTTAGATATCACATATGTATGCCCTCAGTTGATTGCCTTCCTCTCTTGTAGTTAGTATTATTTTGTTGATCTGATTTTTTGATTGTTCCTTTTACCACAATGCGCTTCATCATTTGGCTTTAATTTCCCCCAAAAATATGTCTTTTTTTTGTTTCGTTTATAAAGTCAAAATTTGCACGTCTCTTGCTGCCAAATTCCAGCAAAAAAAAAAAAAAACACCCACAACTCACCACCCACCACCACCCACACCCAAAAACCAAATGCCACGCCCACACAGACACACCCACACAAGTGCACGCCCACATTGCCATCCGGAAGAAGGATTATTTGTTGCTTGTTTCGCTATGTTTTGCATAACACCCATGGAAACATCAAATAATTTAAGGAACCCCCGACAAACGGTGCTTTATTACGCTTAACTTATGCTTTGCTTGTACGTATATTACACACCTTGCCTTACCTGCTTATTTATTATTTATAATTTTAATTGCACCCATCCATCGCCAGGCTGAAGTAACCATAACAATTAATCATAAATTTATGAGCTGAACACGGCGTGCTGACGTTTTAATTTTAATTAATCTTTTAGCAATTAAGTGAAGCGCTTTTTTCTTACCATTGCGTCGCTTTTATGTTTAAAATACTTGAAATATTTATTTTTATCAACGCAAACGCTTTAATGTTTTAATATCAATTTAACCGCATTACGCTTATTATTGTACTACATTTAGTTAAATTATAAAACAAATTTACAAACATGGTAAAGTTATTTTTTTTAAATATTGTGTCAATCGCAAGAGGCAAAAACTTTTGTTGCTTGAACTTCAACGTTTCAAGCGCCCCAGATCCGTTGTTATAAGTATATTATATAATACCCAATTGACTAGTTAAATGCTCACTCAGTTTTACACATAATACAGAGAACAGTATATATACATCTTAGTAATTTCTATATAAATAATACATACTTTATATGCATACATTTTTACATATCGTGTATGTACAATCAAACAAAACAGTTTTTACACCAAGAATCTAACGCGTTTATTTCGATTTTTTTCTTTTCTTTTCTTTCTTTTTATGTGTTCTTGTTATATACTTATCTATATACAAACAATTCATTTGTTTTTCGGTACAATATGACAAAAAAAAAAACAACAAATCTTGAAAAAAAAATTATATATATGTTCGTCAAAACCAAAAAAAAAAACCACCCACATTAAAATTACAAATTCTATCTCTGCCACACCAACCTAAATCAAAATCAAAAACAAAAATCAACCACCAACCAAATGACCAAATCTAAAAATCTAAATCGTTAACCTTTCGATTCAAAAACCAAAAATGAAAAACTGTTATTCCGACCCCCCCAAAAACCCATTCCGAAAACGAAACCGCACCAAAAATTCGAAATTCTCATCGATTCGACACTCAAAATTCAAAATCAATTCAAAAACGTTCTTTTATTTTACTTTTACACTCTCTTTCGTTTTAATTCGAAATTTGAAATGACCAAAATTTGACAATTATCTTGGCGATCCATATATATACAAACACATTCAATTATGTATACAAAAAAAAAAATGCTAATGCTATTGAAAAAATTGTAAACGCAAAAAATTCGAACAAAAATCTCGAAACCTGAAAAACTGAAATCTAAAAACGAAATCAAAACGCAAAACCAAACCAACGGCCGATGTGGATAACCGAAAATGATGGAAAATGGAACCGAATCTGGAAATGCAATAAACACGCTCTCGAACAACCACCCACCACCCCCAACACACACACACACACACAAACACATACACTCGAAACACACACATACGTACACCACTCCACAAAACGCAACTAATGCATGCAATAATGACCATGTTGATGATGATGACTATATGACGATGACGCCGTTGATATATGATCACGATGATGTTGATGTGGATGTGTAGGGAGTTGGTCGTGGGCATGGAATCACAGTGCCGCGTGGCAGAGTCGTTGGCCAGCGTGGCAGCACCAGTCGTCTGGGGGCCCAAACAGCGCCACAGGCGGCGGCAGCGGCAGCGGCGGCGGGACAGGCGGCGGCGGCGGTAGCTCAGCGGGGGGCCACCGGTCAGGGGGCGCCGGCAGCAACCGGGGGGGTCCGTGGGGTGGTGCCAACGCGTCCCAGCGTTCGTGGCACCCAGCACGTCAAGCCGCTACAAAATTTACCAGGTGAGCTCAACAAAAACACAAAGAACGTACTCGTATCTCAATAAAAAAAAAAAAAACCAAAAATTTCAAAAAATACACCACTACAAACCAAACCAAAACCAATCAACAAAGAAAACAACCAATAAAATTCAAACCAAATCAAACCAAAAACCAAATCGAATCCCAACAACCTGCGCCAAGTGAAAAAACTGCATAATCAAAACCAACAACAGCGAAAAACTTCAGAGAATCTATACATTGCAAATGTCAAATTCATATAAATTAATAAGTCAAGCCAAGTAAAAATGTAAACATGCATACGAAATACCACAACCACCACCCACACCCCCAAAAAAACACACAGAAAGACACACACACACACATTCTCATCACGAGCACAAAAACAAAAACGAACATAACGAGAGATTTTAATATATAGTGTAAATCCCCAAATCCAGATCCCCACAAATAAAAAGGTCACTTCAATGTCGTGTGTATCGCATTTGTAACTTTTCTAAATGTTGTAAAGTTTTACCCATTATTAAGTTAATTTTTTTTTATATTTTCATTATACTTTCTTATCCAATGAACATACTTTTCTTCTATAAATGTTTTTTTTTGTGATCCAAGTAGTTGTGAACTTGCTGCTTACGTTTGTGATGTGAGCCATTAATTTCCGTTTTTTATTTCTATGTCAGCGCTGAGATGTATGCTACAATTTTTGATGCATGTCTTGAATTTCGTTTTTTTTCCTATCTCGTCTTTGGTCTCGTCCAACTGTAAGCAGCAGTTGACACCCACGCCCCCATTAAATACAGAACCACCCGCCATCCTCCAGCACCCATACACACACACACACACAAACCAACATATCGCCTATGTATATGGAAAGCCATTATAACAAATTATGTAATTGTTTATACGCATATTGTCTTGGATATGTACCTAACTATATGAGCAATGTCTGTAAACGTTTATGAATCGATTAGTATTTATGTCCCACCAAACACATACGCACTGAGAATATATATATATATACATATATATATTATCACCTTATTATTAAGCGCCAGTAAGAGAGTCGAAGAAGATTCGGGTGGGAGAGCTGAAGCACATACATCTCTGTTCCGATTAATTTAAATGTTTGTCCCTAACCTATTTACCACCCACAATTGAATCGAAATCCGCCGAAAAAAAGATCCCCATATTCCAAAATTTTGACGTACGTGTATATAATTTTTTGTGTTTTTTTTTTTAACCCGCGCTGATTTGTTGGCCACAAGCTACAAATAATATACTTATACAAATGATACGCGTTTCAAGATTGACCAGATCGATTGCGATTGCACAAACCTAAATATATATGAAACCTTTATTTATATATACATTATTTATATATATTCTAGCCCATTAAATTAACAAATATACATATATTTTGTGTGATTTTATGTATATCGAATTGTGAGTCTTGTTAATTAATTATCCATCATGCTTTGCAAAGACAAAACAAAAAAATAAGAAAATAATTTAAAAAAATAGTTTAGTAACATTTATATACACACACACATGTATACCTATATGACCTTATATATGTATTATATAACCACCCCTTTAACATTTCATACATATATCATATCCACACACAGGGCGACACCAATACCAATACCAATACCCAACTGAGATCGTTTTTTATTTATTTTATGTATAAACAAATACTAATCGATTCGTGTATTATGTTTACAACACGCACACACACCAAACCAATTTTTGTTATAATTTGTTGTCAATGGAATCTAAACTTGTTTACATATATACATATAGCGGAGTGTCCCCAATCAATCGGCTCACGCTTTTGCCCCAGTAATGTGGGTTGACTAACACCATCTGGCAAAAGCGTGATGACCTCGAAAAGCACCCATAAACAAGACACCCCCGCCCCCACCAACAAATAAGAAACTCCACCGATCACCTGCTTCCGATTTTGAACACGCTTTACCTTTTTGTGGCTGTATTCGTAGATGATACTTTTGTCTTCCGTGGAAGATTCCTTTTTATTTATTGTTAGAATGCTTCACACACACATGCTCATTACCATATACAAACAAGCGCTTTGTTTTTGATACCACAAATGTGTCAGCAAAAAAAAAAACCAAAAACAAAAAAAGAAACCAAAAAAATGAATGCAAAACAAACCAAACCAAAAACCTAAATCTGTTTCTAGCTGGAGCTGCACTCAAGACATATATGGAGGGCAACTAAGCGTAGCGCATCGATCACCTCCCCGGTCAGCGACAAGAGTCGCTCACCGGCCAAGAAGCGTAAAGTCCATAGGTCCTCACATAGCAAAACCAAGTCACACAAGTCCAAAAGGCATTCCCACAAATCCAAGTCGTCTCGGCCCGATAAACATAAGAAATCCAAACGGAAGTCGTCCGAATGAACCAAATTCACAATGTGGCCAAAATTCGGTGGCCCATTCTGTATTCAGCCCCAAAGAATACACCTCACACTACACATAATTAACATATCATTTTATTTTCAAAATCAAGTCCCAAACGAAGTATTATCTCGTCATTGGCATTTAAGATTCAAATTCAAGATCACACACATCACGCATCCAGTTTCAAGAACATGCAGCATCAAAATCAATAGCGCCATCACATCAGATCAGTTCAGGCCTAGGAGAACACTCAAGAAACGAAGTTATTAAATTCAAAATTTCAAGAAACCAAAACTCTCGACGAGGCCTCATTTACATATGTTACGAGTACAGCGCTCTGTTATCCTTTGGTCGATCTGGTGGCCGATACTTTTTGTAATGTCGTCCCGGCTAACGCAGCTAGCCAATACGTTAGCTGTTCCATGTTACATGTCAAACGATAATATCATTGCAAAATGTTTTACTTACAAGAAACCCCGTTTGGTAATTGTTAACTCACACACAAACACAAATACATTATGCACCTAACATCACAATCACACTATATATACAACATAGATATATATATATATATATGTTCATGTAATCATGTCCCCAAGTCCCTGGCGTTATGTCGAATTAACACTTAACTTCAATTTGTGATGTGTAAAACCAATGATGAGATAAATTAAACGAACAAATTATCAAATGTGTTGTCTTTAATATATATTTTTTTTTTGGAAAAAAACACATACGACCATCTCTCTCTCCCCCCTTACCTCACTTACAAAGCAAAATCAAAATGGACAAAAAATCATCAAATTGTGCTACTAAAATAACTAATACAACGTCAAGAAAAACCCTCATTCGAACCATAGACCAGTTGAACTTAATCAAATCAAAAAAAAAAAAAAAAAAAAAACAACCAACTACCAATACAAAGAAAAAATAGCAACAACTTTGAACCATTTTTGTATTAACAACATTTTTAACTCTCTTTCTCTTTTTTTTCTTTCGAAAACCACCTCCACCACCCACCCAAAAAACACACAACAACCAACGCACACACCAACAACAAAAAACCGAAATGATTGCCTCCTCCAACCACCAACCAACACCGATCGCGGTCACCAATTATGCAGTAGTCGGTAAACGTAAGTTCGATGGAGGTCACCAAAATCCGGCAGATGTTAAGCGACGTTACCCGAGCGGTTTAATAGGAAATGGCGGCAGTTGGGGCAGTTTACCGCTACCACAGCAACCTTTAGGCACCAATGGTGAACAGTGGTACATGGATACGTTTTCGGGATGGAGTTAAAACCTTACAGCCAACCCAATTGAAATCAATAAAACAAAGCATCATTAACAAGAACAACAACAACAACAGCAGCAGCAGCAACAACAACAACAACACATGGAAGTTACGAAAAAGGATATTCTCCATTTGATATCCTGGAAAAGAAACCTTTCGCGTCATAGTAAACAAACAAAGAAAAATAGCAGCCATTCTTAAAAGCAATAAATTTAATTTCAACAAACTATATAAGGTATAAGGAATACAATTAGCCACAATTCAGCAAAAAGCATTGTTTAGAGACTCGTTTCGATCTTAGTTCTTTTGCTATGAACGCCGTAGATTGCGTCCCTCTAAATAACTATAATAACAAATCAAAGAAGTCAGATGAAATCAGCAATAGCAGCAACACAAATATGTCGTCGAGTAGAGTATATTGTATTGTATGTAATCACTTTAATAGCCTTTGCAGCAAGAGAGCATTTTAAACGAGAACTTTTCATTTAGCAAAACAAGTTTAGCAGATTTTCCCAAAAAAAAAACAAAAACGTAAAAAACAATTTTAAAATGCATCAGCCTCACAACTTAGATAAACCAAAGTCGAATCGTTTTAAAAAAAAAAAAAAAATTAAGAAAAGAAATTTGTCTCATAGCGTTTTTAACTCGAAATTGAAACAATAATTGAGCATATATAGCAAAACCTATATGAGAATTACAAAAAATATAAAATATATTTATCTATAACTATATAGAGAGAGCAGTCTAAGCCCATACAGATTGATTTTAAATCTTAAGCAGCATGTAGCACCCCTTTTATACATTGAGAAAAAAACCCAACAAAGCGTAAACAACCAAATTCAAAATCAATTCAATTTACAATATTTACATGGGCATTGGAAGATTGCAAGTGAAAAACAAGTTTTAGACAAGCGAGATTTCTTCTTTTGTATATAGCCAATGGATATAGCTGGCCAAGCTGCTGAAGCAAGACATATGGAAAACCCAGACATATATACACGAGATCAGGCTCAGATGAATTGACAAAAATGTTTAATAAGTCTAAGAGAACACCAAGAAACACAATTCAAATTGAAAAGCAAAGCTTAGTGAAGAAACATTGACTGACAAAAAAAAAAAAAAACAAAACAAATTATTAATTAGATTGAATGAGTTGATATGAGAACGATAAGCAAATACAAAAAATTAAAACGCAGCCAGCATTATTATATAATGCGACTGGCGACGGCAACTGGCAAGACTTTCTGCATAAATTTGAAAACAAACTATTTTTTAACAACGTAAGTTTTAGGCAAACTTCAAATCAATTATCTGTCAGAAGTAACAAAACAAAGAAAAGAAAAAAACAAAAAATATGTAGAGCTAAGTAAAATTGCACACATACAAAAAACTACACTTAAAACTCACTGATAATACTGATAAGCAGATATAAATCGCAAATCAACAAGAAATTTGACTAATGTCTGCAAATCGAAGCAACGAATTAGGAAGAAAACTTACAGACGCGGAGACGACAACACATCACAAACCTAATAATAAAATTGATTATAAATTTTAATGAATCAATAATGCATACTTAATAATATTAACACTTGTATTGAGTACCAAAACGTGCTTAATGTTGGTTGGTAAACAAACGAAAAAAATAACTAAAATTATGAAATCAATTAGCCAACGCTCAAGTGCGAACTAGCAGCAAGCCTAGACCATTCACAGCTAAGACAAATTCTATTTAAAGTCCTCCTATCTAATATCAAGTTCAGACTTAACTCTTTTCTCCCACTTTCCTTTACTCATCATCTATAACTGCTACGCACACAGATAATACGGATAATATATCAAGCTGACTTGCAAGAAAAACCTTAACTAACTCCATGCCTAAAAACAAAAAACAAAACAAAATTGAAAGAAAAAAAGCCACACACACGTGTCAAAATACGTTTATATAGGGAAAATTAATGAAACAAAAACTTGCCCGTTTTTAATTTTCGGTTTTTTGCGAAATTTCATCAAGAAAATATATCGTTTGGTTGAACAGAAATTCTGTCGTTTACGTTTCCGCTATTGCTAGATCTCAAGTAAAGCAAAAAGTTAATTAATATATATATAAATGTATAAAACAAAAAAATATATAAATTAGTTTTAAACTAACGAAAGAATACTTCCAATTTTGAACTCAAGTATAAAGCAAAATACAAACTGTTGGCAGTTGATGAAGGACGCGTGTGTTTTAAAACGTATCTATGAACATTGTTCAGCATAAGCCTAAAAACAATAACTTTTTTTAAATTTAAAAATACACAAACACAGACACACACACACACACCAAGCAGTTGCCTAAAGTAAAAAAAAAAACAAAAAACAAAAAGGGAAAAAACAAAATACGAAATAATGAAAACATGAATTAAAACTTGCGCAAAATTTGCAAACCAGCAAAGAACTTTAAATACATAATATTAGCCACAAACAATAAGAGAATATATACAACAAATTCTAAATGACCATAGTTAAGCTTAAATTTAGTAACACTCACATACATACACTCACACACACATATACACATATAATTATTAAAGTAAAGTAAACTGTCGTTGTAGGGGATGAGAAGTGTGCGCCATTTTCTAACTACAATAACAAGAGAGAGAAAAAATTACTAAAAATATTTACCCATTTTTTTATAATTTTCATAAGTTTCCTTATGAATTTTCTTAAATATTTTACTTTTTTTTTTATTGAGAGAGCATTTCACATGCAATTGCAATTGATTGTTGCCTTCGAAAAAAAGAAGAGGAGAAAACATTTTAAAACTTTAATCATTTTTTTTTTCTTTAAACACACACAAACACAACAAATAAATTAATTTGATAAGGAAGTGAATTATGAAAATTCTATAACGCCGCGTCTTTTTGCATGCAAAATTTTCGATTTTTCGCCCTAGAAATTTCCACATTTGGTGACTTAATACCCTTGAACCCAATTCAAATTGCAAATATATAAATATAATTAATTTTAACAATTTGTTTAATTCGATAACTGTACTGATTTTATATTGTTTTAAATTTGTAATTTAATTTGTAAGTTTTTATTGTTAATGTGTTTTTTCTATTGTAAACTAAAAACTAAACTAAATCTATAAACCAATTGGCAAATTGTTACACAATCCGTTAAAGTTAACCGATTTCGTCGATTCAAAAAAAAAAAAAAGTTGAGAATGAAATTTTTACCAAAATTATGTGCCGTTATTTAGAAACCATTTCTTTGGAAGCCTAAAATTTTCCTCCAAGCCCCCTTACCCCTCTCCTCCAACAACCCAACCAACCCCCTATAATTGTGTTAAATATTGTAATTTGTAATTTTTGTTTTAATATTTCGGGAAAGCAAAAACGTTTGGCAAAATTAGTTTTTAATTTGAATATTTAGTTTTGTTTGTGCGCTTAAGTTTTCAATAGTATGTTATATATATATATTAAACTATGAATATTAATTTTTAGCAAAATATTTTACGATCTAACATAAAACTAAAACTAATGTTAAATACTTAAAGAACTAATTTGTTTAGCTGTTTAATTGGTTTAAAATCTTTGTGTATTGTGAAGAGGAGCGCAAGCAAAATTTATCATTGATCTAATAACAACAACAACAATAACAATAACTGTATACGTGTGTAAATTTCAACCTTCAACAAAAGCAAAAGCAAAAGCAAAAGCAAACACAATACTGAAACAGAAACAGAATAAATAAAAATAAAAATAGTAATAAAGTCGAAAGGAATCATGAAAGAAAAGCAAAGTGGACAACAAAATTGCAAACTGCGCATGGAAACTGAGCGAAAAAAATGAAAAACTTTACATGAATTGTGATGATGCAAAGGCAAGATTTAATCATAATTACTAAATCTATATATACAATAAAATATATATCTTTCTCTATAAATATATATATTTGAGTATATAATGTATATGTAGGCGTAGGAGTGTATAATCTAACTTTACTTTTAAACAGACTGCGTACGTATTAAAAATTTTTAAAATTAATTTGTGTAAAATGTTTTAAGTTTTGAAAAATTGGCAAATAAAGAAAACAATAAAAATTAATAAATCAAAAAACAAACGATCGTATTGTAAATTGAAATATACAACAAATATTTCGACCTATTCCAAATTATCTCTTCAAACCTTTTCAGCAAACAAAAACCAAATCTTTTTCATGTATATTTCAAGAATCGGCTTTAAGCACGCGCAACTGTTTATAAAGGAAGATTTAAGGACAGTGGCAGTGGATGCAAGGATCTGATACCTTTGGATAGTTTCCAAAATTGTTTCTTCTTAAATACACAAACAAAACAAACGAAAAACATGATTTGTATGAGGACAATATCTGTTTCAAACATACACACACGTTAGGATTAACTTTGCTTAGACAGCTCTTGTTTTACTTTTAAATTTATAGTTTGTGTGTGTTTCCTCCTTTGCTCTTTTAATTACATATATAACCATTTTATAATTGATTGATTTTGTTTTTATTAAACTCTTTTATAAACTACCTATTGATATACATCACAAAAACAATTGCAAACATACCACACGTATGAAAGGGATTCATAAACCGTGAACGTAACGTCGCCAATTATTACGAGATAAAAACAACAACAAATGGAAATTAAATAATATAAAACAATCAGAATTCATCGTAGAGGAAGGCCGAATGTGAGAAAAATGGGAGAACAACTTTTACGTCTTAATAAACAATTATTGTTAACGAAGAAAATAAAAGTGAGAAAAGAAGAATATTGTACTAAAATATTTGATATACATACATTTGTTATTATTTGTAATACGAAAATTAAATAAAATTGCATCCAGATAATAAAAAATGAAATAAATAAAGAATGCAAAGATCGTCGTCTGCTCAATTTTAGGTGAAAAACAAATTAAACACCAGAACTTTGGTCAAAACAAAAAAATTTATTTCAAAATCGTTGAAAAATGAGGTTAATCAAAAGCATTTGCTTCGAGAAGAAGACTTGCTTCGTCTGCTTCCATCGCTCGTCCTAGTGCTGACGCTAACGCTAGTGGTAGCCATTCCATCTCCCAGTACAGTTTCGTCTATACTGGTATCGTCTCCAGGTATTTCCTCGTCACTGTTTTCCTCTCCAACTAAAGAACTTCTTGGCGTTATAATAGAGTCTCCATGGAGATCCCTGTTTATCATATTTCCCATATGAAAAGCAGAATGACAGTTGTTGGCAGCCAAAAGGGCTTTTACCCGGAAAACAAGCGTTTCAATCGTTTCTCTTAAGCTGGGAATATAGCTGATGATAGCCGTATTCTTAATGAACTTAGAGTGGCAGCAGAGTTGGTGCAGAAACCGGGTCACCTTCTGCAGTTCGTGCAAAAATCTTGTCAGCCGTTCGGGGTCATCCCGGACAATAGATTCCAGTGCAGAAATGCCATGCTGGAGTAGCAACTTCAGAAATAGCAGAGAGTGCTTCAGAAACAGTCCAAAATTTCGAGGCTGCTCCACCTGCTGCACAATGCTGAGCAAGCCATTTAACAAATCCACAGTAGACTCCCACAATTTTAGTCTATCACCACGTTTGTCCACGCCGACTTGGGCACTTAGTGAGTGAATTAACTCCTCGCACAGACCACGAAACAGCAAAGGAAAGTTAGCCCTTAAAACATATAAAATTAATAAATCATGGATTTTCATAAAACAGATCGCATACTTTTTAAAATTGGGAAAGGAATCAAGGGCTTTATCCTTAGTATTCAAAATACTGCATTGCTTAACCAGCTCACTAAGAAGTTCGGCTTGACTTTCGCAAGTTGATTTTTTAAGGAATCCCTTGACCAGCTCGTCCAAGTAGATATTACACTGACCACCTTTGTCCAAACTTCCAGAGTAGTGAAACCATTTACGACGTATCAGCTTACCACAAAGTAACCCTGAATGAAAAATAAGGTCTGAAATTATAACTTTTAATATATATAGTTTCCCGCTTACGTAAGTCTTCGGCTTGCTGAAATCTTGGTTGGCTTGAGTCCATTTGTGTGCTTCCCACCTTCAGCAAGCTCTTCAACAATCGGTAAAGCTGGACTGCTGTACTTAAATTCAAAACAGATTTTTCATATTTTAAAAAGTATTGAAAAGTCAGCGTTGCCAGCTGGGGAATAGTTTGTTTTTCCAACTTTTTCCACTGTGCCTTTGGTTGCAGTTTTAGCAGAGAGCCTAAAATAATAGACGTTTAATATTTAGAATTACAATAAATTGGGAACACCTTACTGTGGAGCAGTTCAGCCTGCGACTTATCACCCCATTCGCTCCAGGCGAAGTACAAGGCAAATAGGCGAACGCACAGCCCAAAGCAAGTTTTAGTATAGTTAAATTGCTCCTTAAAAAGGTCAAGATTGCTGTAAACATGATTGACATTCGTAAGCTCTTTGTCAATGGCTTCTGCCAGAGTTATTAGGTGATTGTTCACCTCATGTAAACAGGGAAGTAAATCGCAAATGTAATCATCTGGTTTGGCCAAGTGTGGCCTAAAACTGTCTGTGTCAGTTGAATCTTGCTGGTGCAGGACTGCTGCTTCGAGTTTTTGGACAGTGTCTTCCAGCAGGAAACGTAACTCAAGAAGTCCCAAGAATTCTCCGACTTGCTCCTTTTCCAATTGATGATTAAGAACAAACTTCTGCTCAACCAACAGCATTATGATTTCCACTTCCATTGGCCTGTACTTCTCCCGAGGCCCATACATCTGCTCGAAGTCGATCTTTGATTTAATGGGTTTGCCTGGTCCAGCCTTAATCGTAAAGTCAACAATTGAAGTTTGGTTACCACTCAGTTCTGGATCTGAGGCAGTTGCATTGAACTTGGCAGCTGCTTTAGGTCCTGGACGTTTCTGGTTCGGTACTGAATACTTAGTGTTGGTCAGGAATTGGTATGGCGGAGCTACGAAGTCCATGGGTGCCTTAGCCAAAAGTGGCTTAATCCTCTGTTCGATGCGTATTAATTCTCCGAGTCTCGAAAGAACACGACGCCTGGTACCCGGATCCCGTTGCGATGCGAATGCACTGATCGACACTCTCATCCAGTTGACGGTGTGGAAATAAATGCTCAAAATATCCTTTTGCTGCTCGGCCTCAAAGTTGTCAAAAACGGCCAAATAGTTATCATTCTCAAAGAATGAGGGCAAAACAATGGCACAGCCTAGCAAAGCATTGATATTCTCCAGGCTGTCTTGGTGGCGGTGTTTATATAGTACCCTAACACAGTTGAACAAGGGTGCTAGAACAAAAATAGAATCGCAAGCTCTGCAATTTAAAAAATATTAGGAAAATATTTTAAATTTTTGAGATGGTTAACTTACTTGGATTTGGGTGCCAAAACCAGTTTGGAAATATTGATGCCTATGCTGAGGACATCTGACTCGGTATTTGCATTTGTGTCATCCAACTCATTAATGTTCAGTTGGTATTCCAGCTTAATGCCCCTAAAAATAACTCAAAGCTAGATAAACTTCTATTAAAAAACCGTCACATACTTTATCGTTTCCGGAACATCCTCTGTGACGAAGCTAGTCTGAAAGCGAAAGGTCACTAAGTCACAGAGCCAGGCTATGAAATGGTTATCCAAGTCACAGACGGAAGCTATCTCATTTCGTTGATTGAAAACCGTTGCAAGTTCCTCATAGAATAGAGACAAAGACTCAGCACTATTTCCTATAGATGCCTCGGTGCGAACTGTGTGGAGTAGATATCAGAATATAGTTTCAGATGGAATATCAACTGTTAATTACTGATCAAGTTGGCGGCCAATTTTCCTCGACCTTCGGGAAGCGAATCTACATTTTCCACGCTGAACATGGAATCATCAAGCCCTGCTACATCGCTTTCAACGCGGGCCATTGCATCGATCAGCTGGGTGCAGCCAATTATACCCTGTTTTTTTATGATGTCCGTGGAATTGATTAGCTGCTTTTTCACCACCATATCTACTTGCTCTTGGAGCTGAGAGCAGGGCGATAGTTTGGGATCTGGAAAGGCGACATGGCACAGCAGGTCCATGGCAATGCGTGTTTGTGTAAGCGTTAGATCACTTATCCTGTCCAGCATTGGAATGAGAAGAGTCGCACAATTTTGAACATCCTTGGCACTTTTGCGCTGCAGTTCACGAAGTAATTCGAGTGCCATTGTGGTCAAGTGTTGTGATGATTTGTCACAGGTGAGTTCCAGCAGTTTCTTAAGAATATTTTTTTGAATTGATTTAAAAATCTTAAAAAGAATGCTGCACCGAAAAGGAATAAATACTTTAAAAATTATACTTAATGCCTTGATCTTAAGTTCAAAGTTTACCTGTAGGAAGACTTAGCAAAATCGGATACAATTCTATTTTTCTCTCTCATAAAGTCATGAAGGATGTTCATCAGTGTGGTTATATGTTGCTCTAGGATGTGCTTATAATGCATTTTTATGTCCTCCAAAATGCCTACAGTAATATGCTCCAGTTTAATTCGCCGACGAAGCTGTTAAAATAATTACATTTAATCAAGTTAACAAATTTCATATATGTGCTTTAATACTTACAATATTTTCAATGTACAAGGAGTTGTCTTCATTAACGTGAATCAACAAGAGAAGAACAATCAAGTCAAAGGAGCTAAAAAGTAAGTAATTATTTCAATAATAAATTACTTTTAATTTTGTATCTGGTACTTACGTAAAGCCTTCGGCTGACAAACTAGCAGCTGATCTTTGGCACGCCTGATAAAATCTTTTAGAGCGTATTAAGCCAAGTTCTATAAAGCCAAAAAGTTCTAGCTGAGACTTCTTATCGTCGGTCTTTGCTGAGTTCTCCGTCCTATCCAGTGTGTGGCGCCAATTAAAGATTTCCCGCAGGCTACCTATCAACTGGAGTTAGAGCGATGTTAAATTAGATGATTTAAGAAAAGGGAAAAGAGCCATACATCGCGCACACTTTCATCTGTGTCCATTTTAAGAATGTTAAGCAGAAGCCTTATGAGATGCGGCAAGGTCTAAAAAACAGAATATTTAAGTTGTTTATATTTTGAGTCCTTTTCTGACTTACCGCATCAGGACAGTGGCCACTTGTGGCAAACTCCAAAATGCGCAGTCGTAACTTAGCCTGCGTTTTCTCTGAAAGCGATAAACCACTCAGGGTTTGCACTGTAGTCATGTGAAATAGGTCTTCAGTACTGGAATAGTTAATGCTGCAATACAACCAAATAATTGGGTTAAATTACTAAACTGTAAATAAGAATAACTCGACAGCACATCATTAGCTCTATTTACCTAAGAAGTTCGACAAACTCGTCGTGCATACTGGCGTCCAGTATCAACTCAGCGTTGGCTATGATGTCCAGCTTGGCCGATTCCGTGGCCCTGTTGAATATGCTCTCGATGCGGCTGTAGATCTCAACCTTGTGCGAGACGGTCAAGTAGCGCAATTGGGTTAGCATCAAGGGCAGCAATGGCAAAGGTATGGTTGCCCTTCCTAAAAGAACACGATCCGCAGTGGCTACCTCTTCAATCTTGTTCAGCAGCACATCCACGCAGGGTTCTCGCAAGAAATCGATCATCAGGAAGTTCATAAACATGCTGTTCTGTGACTGATAGATCTGCTCCTCACCAGCAGCGTCTACGGTGCAGCCAGTTAGGAGCTTCTGCACCAACTTGGAGCCGGGCGCCATGGCTGCATTTAGACCCGACTTAAAGGTTTCCATCTTATCGGTATACGACGGGGCACTCAAGAAGATTTCACGCAGTTTAGATACTATAGAAACATGATCACAGGCCAAGATCAGGCTGTCACCCTGGTCCAACTGGACACCGGCTCGGATCAGGACCAGTTCAAAAAAGTTGTTGGGCTGACGGGAGAGTGTGGCGATGTTCCGACTGGACGACTGGGTGCGACCCAGAGTGGCAGCCAAAATCGCACTGTGCTGCGACAGGAAGCGCTGTGTGTGCTCTTGCGATGCGGGTATGTTCTCTTCGCTTTCGCCAGATATGGAATCCACGGAAATATTCGTCGTCGTCTCCGCCTGGCGCTAGAATTAACAGGTTGTTCTGATTTCCAACTTGAATGTCTTAATATTTTTACTCACTGCCATTTTAATGGTGGTATTTTCATCGATGGTGTTAAGAGGCTTCTGCTGACGTTTCTTTCGATTTCTAAACATATTGAACAAATTACGTTACAAGCTAAAATTAGCAAAACAAAACGAAATAAACCAAAACAAATTCCTGGCGCGTTAACTAGTGGTGACCGTGGTGTATCTATCAACGCTTTCATCGATATTCGTGGGGGAAGTACTAGCTAACTGCGGTTTATTACTCGGATATATATCGATATAACTACTACCGATAGAATTCATGAAACAACTCCATAACAATTTTAAATTTTTTTGATAAAAACGTTAAATTAGAAGCGTTTTTAAATGCACTGTATATAATCTGGTAAAAATAATCGTACAACATTTCTTTGCAAATTCAATTTTTATTTAAACGTACTCTACATAATGCGTACAAAACTATTATTGTTTTTTTTTCTATTTGTATATAACTTTTAATCATAAGTGATGAGTATCAAATGTTTAACTATGCGTTTGCTTAATTTTAGGATCGATCCGGAAGCATGTTCCATAAATTGCTAATCGTATATGTAATGGAAAAGTCCAACGTAAGACTTAATAAGATGATTATAAACTTATTTGGTAAATTTAAAGCCTTTCGATTTTAATTGTTTAACTGGGGTGCTAACTCTGATAATTTTGAATAATACCTAATATCGATTTTCAACTCTTAAAAGTGCAAAAACTGTATTGTGCTATACATTTTTAAATGTATATATAAATATGTTTTATAAAAGGAAGTACAACATATGTATGTCTTGAAGTGATTATGCCAGAAATTGACTTATTCCGGGACTATCGAGTCCCCTTCGTACCTAATTAATAGAAGATCACTAATTTGGCGTTGTTTTTCAGTATTGCTATTAAGTATATAATGATGAACTTGATGCCATTTCTATCACACCAATGCAGTCCAAAGCGGAAAATTTGCGATTCCTTCACAATACTGTGCTGCTGGAAACAGTTTGGGGTTCCATTCATTGCTCTTCAGTTTTCTCAAACATTAAATTATTGTTTTTTCGCTCGACGTCTCTTAAAGCCCGTCATCTGCTTCAGAAGCTGTGAGTTTTCGTCGTCAAGATCCATGTTTGGCTCCCAGAGCCGCAGTCTTTTGGGTATATAGATTAAGCCCAGTAGAGTTATAGCTAGAAAAGGAAGAACATTAAAAGTTATCATACAGTTGTTGTTAGCTCAAAGATTGACTCAAAATATCTTGGTTGTATTTTAAATTATTATTTAGTTGCAACATTTTTACTCACAATTTAGCACACAAGGGAAGATCACATAGAAATTAATGGTGCTAGAGCGAAAGTAGAGTGCCTCGCTTGCGTAGAAGACCATAGTAAGGGCCAAGGAGCAGCCGCCCATGCTGACCACCCTTTTCAAAAATAAAATATCTCTATTGGTGTCATACAATCCCAAAAATATAGAATTTACTTACGGTTTGTAGTGGATATAGAGGGTGCAATGAACAAGAGCGATGGCCTTGAGGAGGCAGTACATTCCGATAATCCTTGATATGGTGTAGTCACCTACAAGAATACCAATGAAATAGGGTTCGCTGCACAGATTTTCATTTCATTTTTACCTTCTATGAACTGTGTATCACTGTGGTCGCCCAAGAAGCTGCGCCTTTCAATATAGCTACGGAAAGCAGTGCCCAAGTCCATGAAAGCCACAAAGGCTATCCATCCCCGGAAGGCATAAAGCAGGCGTTCGCGTGGTCGCCCTCCAGACTGCATGGCAGCCCTACAAAATACGATAACTAATAAATAAATGATGCTACTAAATGTATCTATCTAATATCATAAGAACAGCTTAAAAAATGTTCCTTTTGATGTTAATTCAAAGATATTTAATTCAAACGCTCTTTACATTCTACGTTATATTAATACAGATGATAATCCGATATCATTGTAATACCCAAATTGTGGTCAAGATATTACAAGGAACATTTCTCAAGAAACAGTTTACACACAAGTATCGTATTGAAAAGGTCATATTATCTTCTTATATCATGACTAAATTTCTGCCCTCAGAAAAAACATGACTATACCATGAAATAGCAAGCCATCATAATCCCCAACGACTGTTATATGGATTTTATGTTATGGCCAAGCTATTTTTGCATTACAAAGCCATTAGAATTAACATGACATTATTGCGTGTGCATAATTAGACCCTTTATTTAAGGGGTTTCAGTAGGACAGTAAAAGAACAGGAACTCGAACTGAGAAACCGAGTAATGGCATGCCCAGCCGGCTTATCTCCCCCTGAGAATCGAATCGCACTCGGAAGTCCCCGTACAACCCACCACCCATTCCCTAAATGCTGGGCAAAATCGATATTATGGCACACCATGCTCGGCTATTTGTGCAATGCAAATATTTGTGCAGAGCGTAAATTCCGGGCAGGCGACCACGTGGATCGGAGTCCACCAATAGGAGCTCCGAGCACTCCACCCAAATTGTTTATTTTCAATCAACATCGTCGGCTAGGTTGTCCGAGCAACGCGTTTTATGGCCCCGGGACCGGCTAGCAGGCGATCCATAATTATTCCCCTGCACTCCGTATGTGTGTATTTATTTTCGCTACCATTTCATTTGGCTTACATTTTTCAGTGATTTTCGAGTTATTCAGCAATTCCTAATTTCGTCACACCCGTCGTATGCGTAATACCTAAAATGTGGCACTGAAACTCTCTTTAATCCCGCGAAACCTATTTTATGCTGCAGCGATTGTTTATTTTATTTTCGCTTTTCTCCTATAAACGCGACCAATTCACGTACCGCTGCCTGCAACGCCTCGCCATCAACTGAAAGTCTTCAATGGGAAAGTTCTATGCGATGGCACACAGCTTTTATGCTTTCCAGAGCTTTGAAGGCTTAGGGGTTCGGAACAGGGGATACCTGATAAAGTTGCTCTAAAATTAATGAGTTTTTTATAACCGTAGGGGGACTAAAGTACTATTTGCAAAATCTTGATTTAAAGACTAAAATATTAATATATAAAACAATTAACTTAATAAAAAAATCAAAGAGAAACAAAAATTTCAAAGCTGAAGTAAATTCTTGACAGAAAGAAAACTCTGTGCTCATAATAAAAAAAATGTTATAGAAAACACATTGAAAACAAAAACACAATGCTGATAATCTTTAACCTTTTAGCGTCGTACCTTATTGATTCAACATTTCACACAGATTTTATAAAAGAATTTAAAATGCATTTTTCAGTTTTATTTTATTAAGCAAAGTATAAAAATTTTTAACGATTCCAATGGCCCACGTGTATATAAAGATATAACCTTACGAAGCAAAAAGAATCTTATTAAGCAGAGTAGTACAAAAAGATCAACAAATTGTCAAGTTCTATGGCTCTCTTGGGTTGAATGTTGGTCTAGTCCTTGCCAATATTCGCCTCAGTCTTGCGGTATTCAGCCCAATCCACAAATCCATCGTTGTTGAGATCCATAGACTTCAGTACATAGTCTATGGTCTCCTCCAGTGCCTTGTCCGTGTACACAGAACCAGACTTATGATCCTCCGCCTGCTCAGCTTGGCCCTCAGCATGACCTTCGGCATGGCCTTCGGCTGGTTTCTCGTTACTATCTTTGACTGTAAAGGTAAGGGAGCGTTACAATCTTTCGGAGTTGGTCTTCAACTGGTTAAGTTAAGTAGCTCACCCAAAACCTCTAAATTATTTTAAGTCTATATTTCTACTTAATAGAGTTATTAGATGTGGTCAGCTGAGATTTGGATTTGACTTTATTTGCTAAATCAGCTTTACTTACAAAATGTTGCATGCGTCTATATAATAGGTTTCAGTTTCAAAATGTTTTCCACATAGACGGGGCATTCTTAGATTTCTTATTTTGCATAGTTTTTGCTTCTTTTTTTTGTACAAAACAAACTTTTACACAATCAGTCTGTTTTTTGCTGCTCTCAAGATGCGCTTAAAAATTAGTTCATATCGAAAAGTAACTAAAATAATGACAATGGAAAACAAAACGAAACAAGGCGGCTGGAATTGCACAGACCACTTGAGAGATTCGTGATCAATATTCGAAAAATGGGAATCTTTTGAAAAAGTTTTTAGGTTAGGTCTTTAGGTTACAATTTGTTCAATGAAGTTCTCCGATTGGAATGCTTAAAGCATGTTAAGTAAATTTGATTCGAAATTATCTAAAGAAATGCGCTAAAACCGTTGACGTGGTCGACGTAATTTCAGGATGTTTTTGGGCAGAAAACAGGAGTATGTGTTGCACGTCACAGAACACGGGACGAGGACATGGTTATGTATGTAAACTGAACGGATCTAAGTGACTACTAATGAACCGGCTGCTGTTGCTGGTGCTCTTGCGGCTGCTGCTGTTGTTGCTGCTGCTTCTCGGCGGCCTTCTGTTGGGCCTTGATGAACTCCGGATAGTCGATGTAGCCATCGCGTGATGTATCGTCCATCTGCAGGATGGGATCAATCAGGGCAACTAACTCTTCGTCCGAGAAGACCTTTTCCTCTACATGCGGCTTCTCGCCGTTTGGCTGCTCCTTGCTGCCTTGCTCTGTTCGGCAATGAGTTGTTATGGCGGATGCGAGATGGATTAGCATGAGATTCGAGCATGACCACAACCATAACCGGAAACAGCCCAGTTAAATTACGCATATGCAAAGAAGGTAGAACAGAAGAGTGGGTCAAAAAAAACGAAAAACAGAAACCACTAATGCAAATCTAACCAAATCTAGCCAGATAAAAAATAATAGTTGCCTTACCGTGCCAGTGGATAAGCGACTTGATCAGCTCACAGCCGTCCAGTTTGTTGTTGTTGTCCGAGTCGTGCATTTTAAAGTAGTGGAACTGCAGCTCAGCTTCGGACATCTTGCTCGTATCGATGGGAACCTGCATGTGCTCCTGGATATGACTGAAAGTAAAAGTAAAATGTTTAGCAAAGGTATAAAATTTACCTGAAATGAGATGAGTATTAAAACACCTAGTTCAATATCAATTGATCGTTACTACAAAGCCTTTTAAACAAACAAGCGGGCTAAAACCAAAATGTAATTTTCACTCTTCACTGTAGTATAAGTTATCTCTGTAAAATCTATATCATTGAGTCATCCGAAAGTTCTGTATATGTATCACCAAATAATTTAATTATTAAAGCATATGAATAACCCAACTTGAGCTATTAAACACTTCAAATAACTTGATAAACATGTCATTATGTCTAATTTACTAATATCTTGACCACTAATAGCTAACCTGCTGGTTCACTCATTCTATAAAATGACAGCACAGCTTAATACCTCACATCACTTTATATGGCACCGTTTAAGTTTAATTTATGTCATCTATTGTTAAACCTTTCTGATGGCTGGTGATTACCGATGGCAGTAATAAGATAAGTGGTCACTTACGCACGCTCCTGCTGGATGTTGCCGGTGTTCAGGACCTGCTGAGGTTGTCCATGATGGTGGCCACCTGCCTGCTGGTGGTGAACTTGTTGCGGCGGCTGGCTGCTGGTGGATTGGTTGCTGCTGCTGCTGCTGCTGCTGCTGTTGTACAGGAACTTGTTGATATTGGACCGGTGGTTGCTGCTGCTGCACGGGTACTGGAACCTGCTCATATTGCTGGGGATTGAATGAATAAGGATTACTTTCTTGATACTGGAGAATAGATTTTTTCACTCACATATTGCTGGGGCGGCACACCGGGCGCCGAGGGGACCTGTTGCTGGTACACTGGCTGGTGATGCTGCGGCGGCGGTGGTGGATGGTGCTGTGGCACCTGCTGCGGGACTTGTTGCTACAATTTAACTGGGTTAATTTAATCCAGATGTGTTAATCAACTCAAAAAGACTCACATAGTGCTGCGGATTCACGCCGGGAGCGACGCGCTGGCCGCTCACTAAGCCAATTAAGATAAAAGACAGCAGCAGCTGTACTGCCGGTAACTCCGTGACGCGCATCTGCATGGAAGTGCTGGATTCTGACGGGGATCGGATCGGTTTGGGATCGGTATCGGTTCTAGTGGCTCTGTAATCACCACGTCGCAAAGACAAAACACACACGTACACAAATCGCTGCTTCTTCGCCGTTAAACATTCACTGTAGACGCCAGCTGTTGCTCAGGTATTTGTTGCCATTCACAGGTCACACTACTCAATTGGTTTCAGTCCATGCTAAGTCCATATCTACAGTATTAATAGGTCATAAGGAATTATATTTAAAATAATGGATTTGGGTTTAACTTATAAACTTTTTTAAACATTTTCTGACTTTAATTAAAATCTTAATTTCAAGTATGAAATACAACAAACTGAATTATATTAATCATATATATGTATTATTGAGTTTACGTAAAACTATGTGTGTGCTGATTTTGCGCAGTGCAATATTAAGGTATTTTTAGGGTGTTCTTATGAGCTAAATAGCCATTTTGTTATGAACTGCCATGGTCACCCTAAAAATGAACCTCCTCTTTCTCTTCGTTTTCAACCAGCAAATTGACTGGTTCAGCGCTGCTCAAAATATAAAGATTTGAATATCTCGACCAGGGAAATTGCTAAATAATGGTAAGGATCAGTTAACTAAAGTAATGTCAACAATTTAAAGTAGTATACAACACTTAAATATCCAAGTTTACCCTAAAACGGTACACGTGTAGTGGTCACTCAACATAACCCCACTTAACTCATGTTTTCTGCAAATCCACAGGCTGCTGCACCCAAGGATATTGAGAAACCCCATGGCGGCGATTCTGCCTCTGTGCACCGCATCCGCATCACCCTGACCTCCAGGAATGTGCGTTCGCTGGAGAACGTGTGCCGCGATCCTGATCAACGGTGCCAAGAACCAGAACCTGCGCGTCAAGGTGAGAAGTCCACATCCATTTTGAGAATTCTGCGGTTGCATTTACCTGGAGGCTTTGCGTTCCCTCAGACGCTTAGCCTAGTCATTAATAAATGCAAGATAAAAGTTCTGAATCGGACATTATTAACGCGCTAATTGCTCCAGTGCGGGAATTCACATGGTTCAGGCTACAAAACCATTGATTAAAAAGGAATTCTATACTAATTCTTTTATTTTCTATATTTTCAGGGACCTGTGCGCATGCCGACCAAGACCCTCCGCATCACCACCCGTAAGACTCCTTGTGGTGAGGGTTCCAAGACCTGGGATCGCTTCCAGGTGAGTTCAACTAGATAGTTCGCTATAAATAATATGAATTTGGCAGATCTGATATCGTGGTTGGAAAATTTACCAGTCTTTCTACAGTATCTAAGATTTGCCCAGAGAAAACGTATTCTCATAGTCCACTTTGTTGGTACTCCTCACAATTTGGCTCTCCGAATTCGACAAAAACAATACATTTTAAATTATAATTTAAATCTACGAATGGTGACTAATAATTATATTTTCTTCTCTTTTTCTAGATGAGAATCCACAAGCGCATCATCGACTTGCACTCGCCTTCTGAGATCGTCAAGAAGATCACCTCGATCAACATCGAACCCGGAGTAGAGGTTGAGGTCACCATCGCCAACTAAGATCGGCAGATGCCACTTTTTATACCTCCAAAAAGTTTGGCGTTAAAATAAAAACAAAGAACTTTTTCCAAACACATTTGGCCAGCTTTATTGTGCGAAATCATTTGGGGTACTACTTTACTGGAATGTTTTGTTTAGGTATTAGAATGTTGTTTATAGTCGAAAAGCAGTCTAATAGTAATCTGGAACTGGGGCACAAGCAATCTTGACAAAGTCAGCGTACCGCACAGTGCTATTGTTGTTTACATTGGCCTCACGGAAAATGTTGTCCACCTCACGCATGGACAGACCCTCGCCCCAGTTCTGTAGGAGATTTCTTAGCTGCCTGGCCGAGATTGTGCCTTTATTTTGAGGATCCGCTGCCTTAAAGGCGGCAATCACCTCGTCCGGCAAACTCTCCACCTTGGAGTGCTGGTGCATAATGTCCAGGAAGTCGGCAAAGCTCATTTTACCATTCTTCTGCTTCAGATAGGAAACCAGTTCTTGGATTGTCGGCGAAAGGCCCAAAGAACGCATAATAACCTAATGATATGACGACATTTAAACCATTAAGTATGTGATTTTTTTGGGGTGAGAGTACCACTTACCGTTAGTTCGTCCAAATTGTTGATTTGCCCCGACCGAGCGAACAGATAAAAACATTCACGGAACTCTGAGGGTTAGAAGATAAGGAATGTTTTCAAAATGAAATCATCAATGAGTCGCAGGTATATTTACCATCAATATCCTGTTCTTTAAAGTAACGAGCCTGAAAATAAGGTAGAAAGTTGCATAAAAATAAATGGTTAATGAGGGCAGTCAAGTGGAAAGTGCAGTTATGAAAAAAGAAAGCCTTTCTCCGTTTGAAGGTAATTCCATAATCTACAACTCACCATAGCTAAGGACTTTTTATTGCACTTGCACTTAACAAAAATAATAAGTAAATAAAATAAACAAGAGATAATAACTAAATTAAACGAAACGTAGAACTCAAACAGGTAGCAGGTCAGTGTGCCCAAAACTTAGTGTGACCTGTTGGAAGTCAAATTAGAAATCAAATCAAACTTCCCTGTAGTAAGCCCACATTCTATGATTCCCGCTAAATTCAAACTTAAATGTTTAACTGTTTAAACTCAAACTTTAAATAAAACAAAAAGCTTTGCAATAATCTCTATACAGATTATTTTTTTAAGGTGGTAGGAAATTTGAGTTTCTTCGATTAGAAATAAATGATTAATTAATCAGATCTTTATGATCAAAATTTAGAATTGTAAAATAAGTTTAAGGATTGTTTTTCTTGGTGGACACAACTGTAAAATTCTCAATCAAAAATAAATACGATATTACGTTCTTAAATAACTTAAAATGTTAAAATGAAAGAGTAATATTCCACAGTTTTAGTAATTAAGGCTTCAAGTAATTTAATTTCCATCCAAAATAAAACACAATTTTCGGTTAGACTTTAAAATGTATTTACCTTGCGACACAATTACACAAGTCAGAGCACACTGTTGTATTTAAATATTAAAACAACATCATTTAGTTATTGTACAATAAAAAATATCTGCTTCCCTTTGCTTACAAAAAATCTGAAACTGCACCTGATGATCTTAAAAACTAAGTACGTCCTCATCAAACAAAAAGTTATAGTATATATATGCGTGCGAGCCACGGACGGCACCGCTTCAAATGATTTAGTGAACATCAAAACTAAGAAATATAACTTAAAGAAGCAATAGGCTAATAATTTGTGTCCAAATATTGTAGATAGTCGAAATATTAGTTGTATTTGTGGGTTAGGTCTGTAGTTGTGGTTGGATAGTTTAAGCGCCGTTTCTGGCTAAGGGGCTCTAAAGCGCTTCCGTTTCATATACACAAACTCGTAGGCATAAGTACATCTGCACATTTGCTGGCTGGTTAATGTACATTAATAATGGATTCACGGCCCTTTCCGACGCCCACCCAGCGCACGGGTACGCTAAGCTCGCTCTCTAGGAACCGGACATAGCTCTGGGCGTTTTCCGGCAGTTCCTTGAAGTTGCGTATGTGCTCGGTGGATGTCTGCCATCCTGGAAGCACGGCGTACTCCACCTCAATGCTTCCCAGTTCGGCAATAGTGCCTGGGAAGTGGTCAAGCTTCTCCCCACTCGGCTTCTTATAGGCCACAGCCACCTTGATCTCCGGCAGCGTGTCGAGAATGTCCAACTTGGTAAGACAGATGCAAGTGTAGCCGTTGACCAGCGAGGTGTACTGCAGGAGCGGTATGTCCAGCCAGCCGCAACGACGCTTGCGCTTGGTGGTAACTCCGATCTCGAACCCACGGGTCTGCAGAAGATCGCCAATTTCCTATAGGACAAGAGTAGATCATAAGGAAAATGATTTAAAGGTTATTTACCAAGCTATAACTCACATTCAGTTGCTCGGTGGGGAAAGGCCCGTCGCCTACTCGTGTCGTATAGGCCTTGACCACGCCAATCACTTCGCCAATCGTCTGCGGGGGAAGACCCAGACCCGTGAGAACACCACCAATGCTGCAGTTGCTGCTCGTCACATACGGATACGTGCCGAAGTCAATGTCCAGCATGGCCGCGTTAGCGCCCTCGACCAGGATCGTCTTGCCGTTACGCAGGGCGGTGTGCAGGAAACAAATTGTGTCCTTGACATAGGGACGCACCTTATCCGCGTAGTCCTTGTAGCGGGCCAACTCCGCCTCCACGTCCACGTTAATCGATGGGAACAGACGCACGTGCGTGGCCACAATGGACTTGAACCTAATGGGGGTGTCAAAGAGTGCGGTTAGAATCTGGGTTCCCCGAGTTCCCCGGGCACAACTCCTCTCACTTGTCGCTAAACAGGTTGAAGTCGCCGAGCAGCTCGCCAACTCGGATGCCATTGCGGGTTGCCTTGCTGGAGTAGGCCGGGCCAATGCCCTTCTTGGTGGTCCCAAGGGACTTGCCACCCTTCTCGGCCTCCTGCATGCCATCCACATGCTGGTGGAAGTCAAACACCAGGTGGGCACGGTCCGAGATGATCAGACGGTTTTCCAGATGCTGCAGTCCCTTGGCCTCGTTCTTCAGCACCTCGTCAAACAACGAGGGAAGATGAATGACGACACCATTGCCTGTAAATGCCAAGCTAAAAGTTTTAGTATTCGTTCTTTAATTTCGGGGATTTCCCTATCTGCAAAGACGTGCATTAAATGAGCAATAAATAACCGACAAACTGCAGTTGGCTGTCGTGTGATTGCAACAGCAGTGTGATATATGTATGTACGTATTTGAGGCTTAAAACTTGGTTTGTTTAACTATTGCAACTGCCCTGATCTCATTTCTGTAATTGGAAAACTTAAATTGAGTCAAAGAGGGGAAAAATAATAACATTTACTCTGTAAGAGTTTTACACCCGGCGAGTTTACTTTGTTTAATCAGAAATAAAAACCTTTTCAGTCTTAAATTCCTCAGAATACCTTTGAATTCCGTTAAAAAGCTTTTATAACTGTTCATGGTTAATCACCTAGAATTAATGTTCAATACACAGACTTTCTTTAAGGGCCACTATAAAAAGTAATCAAGATAATGTGTTCTTTGTTTAGCTTTAATATCACATAAGAAATGCTAAGCAAACCTAGAGGTTCCCTAGCCTTAAAAGGCTGATATCTATAACGGAGACCGACAAAGTTGCATAATAAACAGACAAGTTGACGAAATGGGGAGCCCATGGAGCCAATTTCAAACGAAATCATAATGCCAAGGCACGCGAGCCGGCTCAACGAACGGGGTCGTTTTGAATTGAGCTGGGAAATTAAAAATAATAAGTTAATTGCCTGATTAGAATAATTTTCCTCTACATGTCAGCCTCAATGCGTGTGTGTTTGTTGGGGCTGAGTGTCATAAACGATATCTAAAAGGCAAAAGCTCTCGGAGAATTGTTATGGGGTTTCACTGGCTTGGTGTGGTTCTGACTATCACATAAATTAGTCTTGTGACAAACGATGACAGTGCGGATTGGACTGTTGCTCTGGTCGAACAATGTCACCCACTACAATACACACCCTACTTGCAACATCGATTAAACTTTGACAAAGTTGCGAAAAATATTGACAAACAAGCGACCTTGACGGTGACAGTCAGTGACGTCACTCTGGCACTGGCTGACACAAAGGTAATATAAATTTCTCCCACTCTGATTTAATTATCTGAATTGCTTATCTACAGAAATAGAAAATAGAAAACCTTTCAATTTCATGGGCGGGCGGCGTACCAAAGTCGAAAAACAGACCAACTGACCCGCAAGCCAATGTCAATGATGCACCAAATCTTGCCAGAAATTCCTCGTCTACATTTGCCTTTGTATATATCGGAATAAATATATGTACGTATTTACAAAGGTATATAGCTGTATATACGCTTGCTCGATACGTTCCATTTCAGTTTGCTATAGAGCGAGTGAAAACTAAAAGCAAAACAAACCGACAACAGACCGTATATTTACGACCTATACTGTATGCAAACATTCTGCTTATATATGAAAATTTTAAATCAAGAAAACAAAAGTCAGGAGGGGTAGAGGAAAGGAATCACTTGCTTACTTTCATTGACAAGTTCCTCTATAAACTTCGCCTATAAATAAGAAAACTAATAGCTAAGTCGAAGTAGCAAAGTTCACTTTACTCTAAAATCTCCATAGTTTAGAATCTGTATTGATTCTTTATATTTTTACAGATTTTAAAATTATAGAAGAAATGCGCTAATACTGCACCTAAAACAATGTACATTTAAAATCAAGAAATCAAAATTTAGGTTTCTTTTATAGACAAATCTTTATCTCTATACTCATATATTAGCACCGATCCTTACTAAACATATATCATTCTACTTTAACTTACCAATCACGGAGAACGCACTTCTCGTTGACAACACCACTAGGCAAAAGATGGAAGTCGAACTCCGTGCCATTAGCGACCACAGTGTGTCCAGCATTATTGCCTCCCTGCGGGTGAAAAAAGATTGAAAAATGAGCACAAAGATTCCCAGATATACAAAGTAGATATATAGGTGTTGATATACAAAATTAGCATTATTTGTTTTGCTTTGGCCTGTTCGGTGGCGGTGGCAGAAAAACAATGCTTGTGTGAAAAATAAATAAATATTATAGGTATATTTTGCAAATTGAATAACACAGAGCCCATCGAATGGGGTATATTTGTCCCACGTGCCCACAAATATCAAATGACAATAAACGAAAACGTTTCCACACATACAGATAACTACGACTATATCTCACGTAAGCACTCGAGAAATTTAATGTGTTTTTCCTTTTCATTTTGGCAACTGTACAAAAAATTTCTACATTTTTGCTAATCTAACCAAATTTGTTTTCTGTATTCATACACTGTAAGGAGAATACAAACATAAAAATTAAAAAATTATAAATTATTAGCGACAGAAGAAGAGTGGAAATTCTGGAACCTTCACAAATCGTTGCTAAAAACCAAAAACAAGATAATCAAAATGTTTACGCGGTGCCAAGGAGAGGGCTTAGAGCTTATAGTCCGGGTCTATGATAAGATACGGGAAATGGCGAGATCGCAATCGAGGGTTCCTAGGTTCCCAGTTCCAGTTTCCGTCCATGGCCTTTCGCTCGCAATTCGTAGAATTTCGAATTCTGAGCACAGAATACATAATAATGTCGTAATCGGAATTACTGTAGGGGCGTGTCAGTCGTGTGACTCAGTGCGATAATCAATGGGGGAAGTTATTATATAAAGGCACTGATAAGACGCTTCGATTCCCCTAAACCATTATGATGATGACCGGAGACTTCTCTCAGCTGCATATCGTCCATTGAACTGCGTGGGTGGTTCTGAGAAATCAACAAGTTGCTCGGCATAACAACCTATTAATGACACGCAATGCCCTTATCCTAAAGATGTTTACTTAGCCCATATAAAATAAACAACTATTCGGAGAGTTGATCACTCTGCTTGGGTTGCATTTCCAGAGGTTCTACGACGAAGGCTCCAAGTTTCTGGTGATGATGTTGGCTGTTATGTAAACTTGGCGGTCCGCCGAGCGAGCAACACAGATGTGCGGAACAGGGATGGGGATAGGAATTAACGTCAGCCACGAAAGAGATGGCGACTGAGGGCGGGAAAGAGACAGACAACACCAGTGACGAATTTTGCTGCGCCAGCATTGTTGGCAGACTTGCTGACGGAATAATAGCGCTGCTGGCTACCGATTACCAGAAGTAGCTACTAAACCTCTCAACGGAAACAGTTTATAGGAAATTTAAAGATATATTATAAATATATACTAGTAGTTTTGATATTCTTTTCTTTCTTTCTAAGCATTAAATAGAATTTTTCTTTTCAAATTTAAAACTGTTAGTTTAATTTGATAAAGAACTAGGTTTGGGCTAATTTCAATTTATCTAGTAGCAATTTAAAAAGCTTACTATGTTCGATGATTAGGAGTAGAATTATAATATTTAGCATCATTATTTTTAAACTTAGGAATCGTAAGTTTTTCCGCTGCATCTTGAAGTTTTAAAGCATTTAAGATTCGCTACTACTGGGAACTAAAACTGACTTATGGCACCTGCTGCTTTAGCTAGTTCTTGACCTCCGGAACAAGCTAGATTCGGTGAAAAAATCGCTATGAGTACAGCACCGCGGCATACACACCAACACATGAGACTGGTAGTGAAAAGGGAAGGAGAGGGAATTGGGGGAAATAGGCGCACACATGCGCGCTCGGCACAAACACTTGGACAAATAGGCTCACGGACGGACACGGACATGTACATGGTCGTACACACAGACGCAGCCACATGGCGGGATGGCAGAATTGATAAATACAAATGGGAAAGCATGCGGCGGCCGAAAAGAGCGATAGTGTGTTGTGTTGTAAAAAGGTGGCTCATCTGGTGAAATACGCAGATGCTGGCTAGAGTGTCCTTGGGCAAGGATATCGTCTGTTATCAATGCCTATTATGCTGAATTCTTACCTGACACCTGCACACAATGTCTACATCGGAAGCCAGCATGTCTACCACTTTTCCCTTGCCTTCGTCACCCCATTGGGCACCCAGGACGACGTCCACCTTGGATTTGTACATCTTGGTGCGGCCCTGGTGCAGCTGCTCGTAGTGTGTGCCGTTAGTGGCTGACATTTCCGCGGAGCGAAACAGAACGGATCAGGTCGGATCGGATCGGAGCACGGAACACGGATCTCGGGCACACGGAAGTCTTGGTCTTTCGCGAACACGTTGTGATTATTCTCTGTTGGCTGCGCTCCACCAGCCTTTGGCTATAAAACAAACAGAGGGCGGCCTGGTCCATGCTGACGGTCCTACTGCGCAAGGGATTTACTCCCGCCAGACAGAACGGTAACACTAAACGCGTTGTGTGGGTGGAGAAGTTCGCTCATATTAAAACCATTCAACAATTAAGTTTCCGGGATAAATTATACATTGAGAAAAGGAAGTTTATTAAAACATACTTAAGGTAACAAATATTTTGAGTTCCTTTAATATATTTTAAAATTCATTTTTTTTTTCTTTAATTATTTAATGATCTTGTCTATGCTATTATCTTTTAAAAAATTTTCAAAAATGTTTATGTCTAATGTTTAATAAATATTAAAAATTAATACCTAGTTTTATTATTTTATCAAAATATAATTGTAGCAGCTGTAGTTCATCATTAGATTAATATAGAATATCAAGACAAAAATGAGAATGAAAGATTTTTAATATCAAATTTTTTGATCTTTATGAAAAATTTGTATTCAAAAACCCGGTTTTTAATGTGAATGTACTTTGAAGTGGATGGTACTATTATAATAAAAATGAATATGGTCCTACTTCAGCGATCAGCTGTTAGCGGCCGCATTGTTTTGTTTATTTTATTGACCATGTCGGAAGCCGAAGAAAAGTGTCACTTGTTAGTAATTTATATATTTGATATAGAATAAAACTAAAACTATTAATCTTCTATAGCTGTAAGGATGTACCCTTCAAATATTCATGTCCCAAGTGCAATGCATTATATTGCAGTGTGGGATGTTACAAATCAAAGGAGCACCTCAAATGCTCTGAGGAGTTCTATAAATCCTGCATTCAAGACGAACTGTCCGGAGCCAAGGCAACGCAAGAAGGTCAAGAAGACATGCGGAAAATATACCATATATTGAAGAGAATGCGGGAAACGGATGGTGGCTTCAATCCGCAGGACTTTGATGCAGATGGTTTAGAAAATCCCTTTGATTCCGATGGGGGTGAAGAAGGAGAACTAGGAGATGATGGGGAAGAGGATGTTTCCGAAGGAGATCCACTTGAAGAAGACATTGAAAACGATATTGTTGATCGACTAAAAGGCGTTGACATTAACGATGCAGATGAAGTTTGGAGCCGGCTAACTACTGAGGAGCAACAAGAGTTTCAGAAACTAATCACTAACGGCGACATTATGAAGCTCATGCCGGATTACAAGCCCTGGTGGAACAAGCCCAAAAACTCAAAAATTGTGGTTATTCCCACACCCGAAGAGGCTGCAAAGAAAGAGAGCACTGTTCCTGAAATATATGAAAAAATTGCAAAGTTCTCAGATATATGCAAGAAGGCACCTTCACCCTGCCTGCACTACAATCTCTGGAACATTTTGAGCGCCTATTCGTGCGTGGCTCGCTTTTTTGCCGGCGAACAAAGAACAAATGCCAGAGAAGCTGTTGCGCACCTGGTAAATCTTAGTGCCACCTTAAAGTACGGCACCAACTTCGAAGATGCAGAGGACGCCATCGTTTCTGTCGAGATGGAGGCCATAACCACGGGCAATGGACCTGCAGGTGCGGCAGCCGTAGGAAGTGCCGGTGCAGGGGCAAATTTCCTAGTCGAGAGCAGGGAGCAGTTGCAGCAGGATGCACGCCAGTTAATGGCGACAAGGCAAAACAAATTGGCAGCCCTCAGTGATTTGCTTCACTTGCTACAACAGACAAAGGCTATGAGCCGGCGAAAGAATCCCCAGGAAGCCGAGTTCCAGAAACTATTCGCTCTGGCCAGCGGAAGTGTAGAACTTGATCGCACGAAACTGGCGCAGCTGGTTCGAAAGATCGAATTCATGCTGTCGTATGTAGCACGGGAAGAGGTCCTGTGAGATTTCTGTCAAAATATATTTTCCTAAATTCCATACGTTTGTGTTTCTTCTCCTGTTTTTTATGCTAGCCTGAAAGATGGATGCATTGTTTGACCATATAATTCTTCTACTGCAGCCCATTTGGCATCTTCTTGTAAGTAACGTAAGGGATTGCATTATTTTTGAAATATTAGCCAATTTGAGAAAACGTATTCGACGACAACTCAAAAAGTAAAGTAATATTTGTCAATAAAATAAAGAAATTATCTGACAATAAATTCTAAATTCTTACTCGATCTCTTCTTCTAACTCATTATAATTCAATGAAACATAATAATAAAAAACTAGAAGTAATGAAAAAATAAATAGATTTTTTTAATTTTCATTTTTTTGTTTTTTTTCTTGTTTAGTTTTAATAATAAGTTTTGAAAATCAGGAGTTAAAATTATCAAAACATTTATAAAAAAAATGCTGGTGTGTTTAATGTCGTTAACGGTCACCCTAATTAAATTTTTTTTTTTAAAATGTATTCCCAAAAATATATAATTTGGTTTATGTGTATATCTTTAGCTGTTTACTACAATAATATATAAAGTATTTTTATTCCTCTTTTAGAAAAATTAATTTAAAAATTAACCCTGATCATAGTATATTTTTGGTATTGTTAATAAAAGTATATCTCCGCTTGCCGCTTGGTATATTCTAACGACTGCAACACGGTCACATCGCACATAGTTTTTTTAGTTGGCGATTCCAGACATACACTCGAGTTGTAGTGCTTTTTTACGCTATTTTGTTATTTGGTATGTGGTCGCTCTATTTCGGAATAAGTTCAAAACTAAAAAACACACTAAACCAAGGATTAAAAAAACTTTAAGATGCAATGTAACTGTGAAAGAAACAACAACAGCAAAAGCGATCGCAATTTAGAACATTTCGTGTAAACGCGTTTGGGTGTAGCGGAATTTCGCTTCTTAGTCTATTTGTGTGTGTGTGCTCCGAGAGTGTGTGCGTGTCGGTGTGCGTCTGGCAACAACAAAATCCAATCGGCCAGCAAGTGCTCTTCGTACGCTTCGCCTGCTAAAAATTAGTGCAAAGCGAAATATATTAATCGTAGCATCCTAAACCTAAAAGCCTTATGTAAGGTGTACTGGAAATTTATGCAAATATTTACAGGAAAAACGACCGAGACAAGTTCAATCTCAAAGATAAACGAGTTTATAGGTGATGGGCGGTTGTTAGAGGGAGGGGGATTCTTATCGCCTAAGTGTGCGACGTGTTAGTTTAGGTGTGCGTAAGTGTGTGTGAGAGTGTCTGTGTTTGTGAGTGCCGTAAAGTTGCTTATCTATCTCCACAAATATGCGAAGTATGCGTCAACCTGTTTTAAAAACTTTCTGTTGGCCATTTCCACTCACGAAACACGAAAATCGCAAATAGCCGCGACTTTGTGTTTATTATTTATAGCCGATGATGAGGAAAACCCGTAAGCGCATCGTATGCCGATGACGCCCAAATCAAGTCAGCACAAGATTCAAGATTCCAACTCACCAGTCGTCATCAATCGCCAAGAGTCTTTTGTGTGGTGGTGATTAAATTCCAGCTACGGTTATTAAGCATGTATATATAAATATATAAATGCACATACATATAACCGGTCAATGTCTGCTGATAACATAACCGTTATACGGTTATACGGGTGTGTGTGTGGAAACTAAGCCGCCTGCATTGTTTACCAACAGCTGATGCAGGGAAACTCCCTGATAAGATACCAAGTTTTCCCACCGGAAAGTACAATAAATAATACCCTGCACTGAAAAAAAACTGATAAAATATAAACAATTTGATAATTAAGACGACCCAGATAACAGAATGTCCATTTTTAAAGGCATATCTAAGCTGCGTGTTTAATTTTCATAAATCGAAAACATAAAAGTTATAAAAAGGCTTGCGATAAGATAATAGTTTTCCCACCAAAAGTATATAAGTTTATAAACAGCTGATGGAAATGCCGGGAACTTACATAATTGATTAGATAAAAACCTTTTCCCAACTTGAGAACTTTTAAAAATGTATGATTAAGTAGCCACATATTTTTTTGTTGAAATAACCTAACCTAGCCCATTCCTCACTTATTATATTTTGTAAAAAAAAAAATATAAAATTTTAAATTCTATAAACGTTTCAAACGTTATTAATTTAAATTAACGGAATGCCTTTATTACTTTTATATTAAAATGATATGCCATGACTCGAAATGAGTCAGGGGTGATAAGTCCAGTCTTTATCAATGGGGACACTCGGCGAAACCCACAAGAAATATGGCCGTTGATAAAGCTTCAGTAATTAAAGTTCTACCTGTTGCATCAATGCACAGGAATTTCTTAATCGAAATTAGGCAAACAATTAATTTACCCTCCACTTGATTCGTTTTGGGTATAGTATATTGTTTAACAAACGATTTGTTGAACCAAGATAAACACTACGAAAATACAAGTTTGCGTATAAACAAAGAGCCTTTTTTGTTGTTTCTCTTACTGCTGCTGTTGTGTGGAAGTTGTTTATGGCGGCATTGTCTATTTACGTAACCTAAACTCATATATTATGATTACTGGCTTAAGCCCCCTCGTGTGTGATTGATTAATATCGATTGGAACCTACAGGAAATGTCCCACCACAGTGATGATCAGCTCCTGCAGGCTGGAAGCGATTCCTTCTGGGAGCCCGGCAACTATAAACGAACCACCAAACGGATCGAGGATGGTTACAAGTAAGTCAATAAACATCAGGATGCCTTAATGCACAAAAAAAAACGTAACATCACTTATGTCATTCGAATGCCGTCATATCATTTGTTTAAGTAGATAAAATCCAAAACAAATAAAAATCAAAAACCTTGATTAACGTTTTGGGAATACCAATTGTTCAATTTTAACTTATCTGTAAATTCAGTAGGTCATGCTATTTTATCGATTGGTTTTGAATACAAATTTATTAGCTGACACTACTTATTATACTTAAAGAAATTAAGAAATAAAACGTTTTATTTATATCAGCATGATAATAAGTAACCTACTTATATATGATCTCATTTTTGTAATAGCTTTGTTGTCGACAATCTACATGGATGGCTTTAACTTTTTTGATATTTTCAAATTTTTGATATTTAGAATTCGAACAGTAGAGAAGTTTTTAAAATACTGAGTGAATGGATAGTTTTTTTTACTGTATATTACCACTTGGCCTGCTGGGTCATTGCCAGCTCAATCCATCGCAACCCGAACCCAAACCAAAAATCAAACCGGTTTGCATTATTATGATTTTTGTCTCATTTCGCCTGCAGACTCTGCAATGACCTACAGCAACTGATACAGGAGCGTGCCGACATGGAGAAGGGATATGCGAAAAGTTTGCGCACCTGGTCAAAGAAATGGGGTGAACTCATTGAGAAAGGTGAGTGAATGGGCGAGTGAGGAGCGGGTGGGATGTGTGTGGGTCGCGGGATGAGACATCATCTGACATATAAGACAGCAATTTGTTAACACATTCATTCACGAGCTAAGAAGCCCAGTGGAGCATCAAGTGACCCGCTCACGTTGAATTCCCACCACTTATTTGGCCCACTGGCTGTTCTTATTTTCTACATTCTGTACATCATTCTGAGCATTGTTGTTGCCGTTGTGCGATAAGTGGCTTAAGCTATTAATGGCTTTTTTTTACGTTTTTCGTTACCTCGTTTTTGTCGGTTGTACTTTGGAAAAGCTTTGCACTGTGGTTCAAAACTGCCAGCCCAATTTATTAAAATATGTTAATGAGTAGGGAGAGCAAAGTGTTTACATAAACCAGACATAAACATTTGTTTAAACGCACACTTTGTTTTAAACTAAACGAACATTTTGCAAAGGAAGTGCCAAAATTTGTATTAACAAAGGTGATACTTAAGATAAAATACATCTAAACAATCAGATTTTCTTTGTTATTCTGTTTAGTTTATTGATGTTTTAGATGTTTTTATGATATTTAAAAGTTTTATGATCTTGTGCTCTTATCATATCTAAAATATTATATTTGGCTCATTTTAAAAACATTTCTATGAAAATTTTTGTGTTTTCTCAGTTTGGCTGGCGCCTAATTTTTGTAATGGCCCACAGCAATAGTCAATTCATATTCCTAATCCATGGAATTGGGTCTCTGGCCATTTTTGGCGGATGTCCGGCACAGTGTGCGCGCTTCTTCGTGAAATGAAATCGAGTACAGTGCTTGCAAAGTTGGAAACCGCTTTGCCTCATTGCTGCTGCTGTTTCTATTGCTGCTATTTTCTGTGACCGCCTCTGCACGGAATTCCCAGTGTCCACTTTCACAGTAACCAGCAATGGGCAATTGCAAAAGCTACTACTACTTCCTCCGCCTCCCAGTTGGTTCTCTTTTTGTATTTTCTTATTTGTGCGGAATTTGCCTAGCTGCGTCTAGTCAAAGATACCGATACGAATACGAATACAGATCCAGATATATATTTGTAGATACAGATACGGAGACTGAGACTGAGAGGCAGAAGCGCTGGCCAGTGGCCCATTACCCGGGCACTATACCGAACCAAACCAAACCGGCACCAAAGCGTCGCTTGAAATGGTTTCAAAAATCAATGCGACGGGAAAATAGAACGAGTTATTTCTGTGCTAAGCGTCTCAATTTCTAAATATCTTTGTCTGTGTGTTTTAGCATGGGGAATTGGGGATAGTAGTGAGTCGTTAGGCAAACGAGTTCCGTGCACTGCCAATTATAAGACGAGCATCATATCAATTTGATTGTTGTGTTGTGTTAGCGCCCAATAAAAAATCCCAAAAATGTGCGATGTTCCTCGATCGGAGCACCCATACAAGCGCTCATTCTTCGAGCATATTAAATTTGCCATACCTATACCTATACCTATGGCTATAGCTACATATATAACTTGCGGCTGCGGCTGATTAGATAAACCAAGTGCCCGAGGGGCCCATGATGACGTCAGCGGCAGACAGCTCGACTTGGCGACACGCTTGTAATCTGTTGTTAAT